CCGACGATTTCCGACAGGAACCCATCGGAAGTTGTCGGATTCCTATCGGAAAATATCGGATTACTCTGGGTTTCCGATGGGATCCGACAGGATCCGAGGTTCAGATCGTTCGACCTGGGAAGAGTTGATGCAGAAAGTAGAAAAGATAAAAAAATTACTTTCCGAGAAGAAAGAAAGTAAAAATTTTCCTTTGCTTGTTTGCATGACACAAATCAATGTCTACAATTATTTTCATTAAAACAGTGTGTAAGATAGTTAAATGTTTCTTGGACTTGATTGTGGTTAACATTAGATGCGAGTTGAAGAATGCTCGGTTTAAAATAAGGATTGATTATACTATGCACTATACTGTGTAGGAGTTAAAGATAGTTTTGCTTGTTGTTGGTTTCCGACGCACGTTGACGAAAACTTGGGAGATAAGTTCTTGAAAATGTGATTAAGATGCTGAATCATCCTGACTGTGGAAGCTTTTGTTTAAATTCGATAAAAAAAATGTTCGTTTCGAAAAATACTCCAGCGCAGCTGAACATAGCTAAATTTAGACTTTGGTTGTGCATTGTTTGATGCACGTCAGCTTAAAACAGACATCACAGTGTCAGCTATTTGTGCTCTTCTTCTGTAGAAAAGTACACTTCGTTTCTTTTTTCGAGAAGCTCCACGAAAAACGATATCAGGCATGATCGATGTCTCCTAGTGAGCCAATGCAAATAGGAAAATCGATAGAACTCATATTATTCGCATCATTTAAATGAAATTGATTTCTTTGGAAGATGATAAAAATAAATCAGCAGCGTATCATTTGTTTTCTTCAAAGAAATATATTTTGGTGATTTGAAAAAGCGTTCATGAATACGGTACAATTCACGTGATAGTCATGGTATTAGGTGCCCGCAAAAAGGCGGTGTGACGAAATTTACTTAGAACAACTATTTGCCAACTTCGTGAAGTTTTTGACGAAGCTGCGTTCAATAGAACCGAAGTATTATGCAAGAATATGAGAGAAGGACATGGGCTCCATCTTTAGATATTCCGTTTGTTCAGAAAAATCTATGGGCGTGGACGTCACTCTACACGGAATCGACCATTCTCATAATGACTTTCTGAACACACACTGTGAAAAAAGTTGTGAGTCAAGAGATCGTAGGTGAAGCATTGTGTTCGATATTCACAGAAGTAAACAACTTGGTTTGTTTTTGATGACGGTACAAAAAATAATTCTATTTATTCTTGCTGTACACTTTTCCTGACAGCATCGAATTCACGTGATGAATATAATTGAGAAAAAATCTAGTGATACAATTATTTTTCTAAGAAAAATAATCATAGTCATATGATGATTTTAGTTTTTGAAAGGACTAAAAATTGTTAAATAGAAGTGCTACTCTGATATTGCAACTAATTCGACTATTTCGATGCTATCAAACGAAGATAACTTATAAGTTGGAAGAAAATGAAATTATACTGCAAAGTATTGCAATAAAAAAAGCGCTAGTTTTGATCGAGAAAGGTTCATCCATTTGAACTGAAACTTTAGGTTTATTACTAGCTCTGGTGGTCGTGACTTACGTACATGGCCTCTTACTCACTTAATTTTAAGTGAATTAAATGCTAAATTATAAATTAACGTACTGTACCATCACTACATTCAAGATTCTTTGTTTTTATTTCCAGTACACACTAAATAAAAATGCGTCGACTTTATGTGGCGCGAATCTTTGTGCGGCACTTATAATTAAAAAAATGTGTCGTATATTTTTCGCGTTGTGTTTGTCGACTAGTCGTTCACCGTTTTGTTATGCACTTACAGCGACATATAAACAGCATCGCTGAACGTATGAAAGATAAGTTTTCAAAATAAAATTTTCTTGTAAATTAATTCTTGATTGCTTTTCAATCAAGGAAATGCCATCCCGATCCATGATCTGGGAAGGACTACACTGGATGGTCTGATGGGAATAGGACCAATGCCAAATCAGCCAGATCTGAGGATCTGATGAAATTAAATTTTCAAAAACTAAGGAAATATATTAAATTAAATTCAAAAAATATTGAAATATGCGTTTCGAAAACGACCAATAGAAAATGTGTCGGATGTGTTGTAAAAAATGCATCGTCTGTCGTCTTGCTGGACAGAATGTGTCGCAACGCGCACCTCGTGTCGTGCTTTGTGTCGTAGTTTACGACACATCCGATACATTTTTATTTAGAGTGTAGCTCCTCAAAACTTTATTAGGAGTACCAAAATTCGAGAGTAAAAAAAAAACGCTTCCTTGCCAGTGTGCGACATCTGTCGATTCGTGGTATTTATTGGCGATAAGTAAAACCAGAAAAGAATAATCAACATAGTGATGCGATGCGATGCGATGTGATGTGACCATGATTACACTACTGCCTTGTGAAATAAGAAACCATAGCATAATTTTAAATAATTCCTACATTTCTTTTAAGTCTTAACTGTTAGTTTTATTCCGAAGAGAAAAAGTAATGATTGATTAAAATTTTATCTGTTATTGACAAAACTTTTGTTGTTTGGCTTTAAGAATCAATTAAAACTACATGATTGGCTATTTAGATTTCATCCTATATCAAACAGAGACAAGATTATATATATATATATATTATATCTATTTTCAGATGACAAGTAGTGGACAAGAAAATTTAACTCAATTCGAACGAGCAAATAATATTCAAGAAATAACAGCGGCCGATGAAATCTATGCATACGATGCTAGTTTTCAACAATCAATTTTACAAACTCGACCATGGTTGCAAAAGTAAGATTTACTTTCTTGTATCTATCGAGGAAAAAAATCTTGTGCCTTTTTTTCAAGTCCAAATTATTTTAAACGATGTAAAATCTCAGCGTTGGCTTTATTGAAACTAGTTATGCATGCACGTTCAGGCGGTACACTTGAAGTCATGGGGATGTTATTAGGAAAAATTGATGGTGAAAATATGATTGTTATGGATTCATTCGCTTTACCAGTTGAAGGAACAGGTAAATTAAGTTGAATTTAGTGAGTGAGGCTTATCAAGTAACACGTGGATTAGCGAAATGCACCGTACATTGATAGGTGTATAGAAATCTGATAGTACAACGCCTGCAGGGTTTAAATGAGACGCAGCTGCTGTCGTTAATTGCAAGACGATCGTATATCAATCAGTCTTGTCACGGTCTTGCCAATAAGAAAGAATACTACAGTTTGTCTCGAGTAGTAGATTTATTAGCTTGATATTTTCGCTGCGACTAATAATATTATTCGGATGCAGAGCTCTTGTGTTGAATAGAAAAACAATGTTTAATGTTTGAAGGTAGATGAATGTCTTGCCTGCAGGGGTTTACGAAAACCTCTCAACGTTGACTTACCAGCTGAGTATATGTTTTTTCTAATATCTACACAAGTAAACACGATTGAATTCTTACACTGCACGTATTTCTAGAAACTCGTGTAAATGCTCAACAAGAAGCCTATGAATATATGAGTTCGTATACATTATGGGCTAAAGAAGTAAATCGTCCAGAAAATGTTATTGGGTGGTATCATTCACATCCAGGCTATGGTTGTTGGCTATCAGGTATTGATGTTGACACACAAATGCAAAATCAACAATATCAAGATCCATTTGTTGCTATTGTGGTACAAATAAATAAATTTTATGATCGAAAAATTTAGCTTAAGAAAATTGTTTAGGTCGATCCGACACGAACAATATCTGCTGGTAAAGTTAATATCGGCGCTTTTCGTACATATCCAAAAGGACATAAAGCTGAAAGTGAAACAATCGAATATCAACCAATACCTTTAAATAAAATTGAAGATTTCGGTGTTCATTGCAAGCAATATTATCCACTGGAAGTATCCTTTTTTAAATCGTCACTTGACAAGCGTCTTCTCGAACATCTATGGAATCGTTATTGGGTTAGCACATTAAGGTTTGCTCACGATGACATTGTTCGGTTAGGAAATATATTCTAATTGTTTTTTTTTAAGTACATCGACCTTGTTAACAAATGCTGATTATATAACAGGCCAAATCAGTGATGTAGCTGATAAACTTGAACAAGCTGAAACTCATTTAGGACGAACGAGCTTTCTACCATTACCTGAACACGATCGAAAACAAGATGATAAATTAGCTAAAGCAGCAAAAGATTGGTATGTAAAATAAATCTAGCGGCGAAAAAAAAACATATTTCAAGCATCAATTGTTATTTTATTTTAGCACAAAAACAGCTGTAGAAGCAGTTAATTCTCTGATGTCACAATTAATCAAAGAACGTCTATTCAATCAAGTGACTTTTCAATCATGAACATTTATTAATTGTCTTTTTTCTTCTTTCTATTTAAACATACATAAACGAAGTCTATTCTAGAATGATATCAAATATTCACTTTATTTTTCAGTAGCGTCTTAGCGGATATCTAGAAAATCAAAGGACGCCTTTGATTACTTTATGTTTTAATTAGTCAAGAGACTTTTACAATTGAAAGAATATATTCATCGTACAAAAAACTTGCCCTTGACTAGATTGATATTTTACTGTAAAATATCTACTGTAAGTAAGAATTAAAATTATTTCCGGTATCCGTATTCACAAGAAAAAAACTCGACGGGTCATGTCTACAGTTTTGATAGTTGCATTCGCGTAGATTGTCATGAACGTTTTTTGTTTCAGAAACTACCGGCAGGAAACAGTGAGCTTTTACAGTGCTTTGGGAACGAGAAAAAATTAATCTGATAGACATGTAATTATATAGAGTGAGACTTGACGGTTAATATTTTATCTGATATAAAAACGATTATGTTTTACAAAGTACACTTTTTGACTAAATTATTTTCGCTTTCATTTTTAGATTTTCTTCTAAATACAATGAGCAATAGCTCATATAGATTGTTGAACAGTTCGAGTGATAAAATTGACATTGATTCATCTATTAAAGACTCCGGGGCATCATCTACAACCATGATTAATTCCAATAGTACGTTGAAAAATCGATTTATCCAAATAACAATTGCTGTTATACTTTACTGGTAAAAGCAAATGTTTTATTTTTCTTCTATATAGACCTACATTTTCTCTCCTGTTCTTAGGTTTGTTTCAATAACCATGGTCTTCTTGAATAAATATTTACTTAGTTCCAATGAAGTAAAAGTAATTGAAAAACTTTCCTCCGTTGAACTTCTTATTGATTTTTCTTAAATTTAGCTTGATGCTCCACTTTTCATAACATGGTATCAATGCGTAGTAACAGTTGGCATTTGTGCTTTATTAGGAAATTTAAATACGCATTTAACAATTTTCTCAAAATTTCCAACATTTAAAATCGATCTCAAAATCGCACGTGATGCAAGTTGAACTATTTTTATTTTAGCTAAAAGAATAAAACTTTTTGATTCAAGGTTCTACCATTATCGATCATGTTTGTTGCTATGATTACATTCAATAATTTAACGCTGAAATATTTAACAGTTTCATTCTATATGGTTGGCCGATCGTTAACGACTGTTGCAAATGTGGTACGTTATCTGTCGGATAAAAAAGAAAAAAGACAGATTTTGATTGATTAGGTTTTTACTTATTTAATGCTTGGGCAAAGAACGTCTGTCAAAGCCTTGGGATGTTGTGCGCTTATTGTAGCAGGATTTTTTCTTGGTATTGATCAAGAAAATGCACTTGGTAAGAATTATGTAAAGATTGGAATCTACAGAAATGAACTTTTCAGCTCGGAGTTTATGTATAAGATGCACTCGGAATGGATTAGAGCTTCTAGGCATTTTTGTAAAATCACAACTAGAAATGTACAAAAGCAGTTTCGCGAAAAAGAAAAAAGCGACACCTCAATAGGATCACCGAGACCGAAAAAATATGGTCCCGCATAACTCTGGTCACAATTGTTTAATTGTGGTTTACAGTAGAAGTTTTTCCACATAGGTTAGCTTATCATCTATGACAGGAAAATCTGTTTTGAGCCGTGTTCCAAATGCATCGATGCAGGTTAAGATTTCGCTGAAATATCAGGAGAGGCAAAAGAGTTTCTTCGTTGTCTGTCTATCACTAAAACAAGACTGATTTCATAAATCCGTATCTTTCGATTAATGTAGCATCACAATACATTATTTTTCTCATTTGTAGAGAAATTATTTGTGCAATTCATTCGAGACTAAAACACTTAGTGTTCCTATATCATACCTCACTACAAATTATTTTCTAAATGAAAACAACTTCCGGAAATCTCAATTTAATCAGCGCAACGATTATTTCTTATGCAAAATGAATACAAAGAAAGAAACACCTCTTAATTGCCGAATCTTTCGTGCAGAAACGTCAAGTTCATGAGCCTCTAGGCCCTTCGCAGATAAGCTCAACGGAATTATACTTGAGATAAAATAAGCGCATCTAGCATTTCTTCATTATTCGCTTACACAAAAGAAAACTTTTCTTCATTATAACAGGATATTAAAATTGTTTAGGCACTCTTTCAATGTTTGGTGCATTTTGTGGCGTAGCTTCCAGTGTATTTGTAGCTTTGAATGCTATCTATACTTCTCGATGTTTACCATGTGTTGATAATAATGTTTGGCGTTTATGTTTATACAATAATTTTAATGCGTGCATTCTATTTATTCCTCTTATGCTAATCTTCGGTGAATCACCAATTGTTCTAAGCTACCCGAAAATATTTAATTTAGCTTTTTGGTTCGCGATGACAATGGCTGGTTTACTCGGCTTTTCCATGGGCTATGTGACTGGCTATCAAATACAAATGACAAGCCCTTTAACACACAATGTGTCAGGTACCGCTAAGTCGTACGTACAAACACTAATTGCTGTCGTTGCTTATACTGAAGTAAGAGTTTTATTCTATCAGGATAAGAATCATTAGTTTTATTTTGAATTTTCCTTTTAAGACGAAAACATCGCTTTGGTGGATATCAAATTTATTCGTACTTGGCGGTTCGGGTTTATTTGCCCATGTTCGAGCAACGGAAATGAAGCAAAATCATAATGCCAGCAAAAATAGTGATACAATTCCAACGACATCGTTACCAAAATAGACTTAGAAAAAAATATTTCAAATGACACTGAATCTCTATAGCACTCTAATTAATTTTCAAAGAAAAAATCTAACTAAGCAACACTCGTTTCGATATCTATAATTTTTTTTAGCGTGATCTTTTAATTTTAGATGTCTAAGACGAAGAAAATTCTACTTGATATTCTACTTCCCAACGGATGTATCATCGTTGTAGAATGCGAAGAGTAAATTTTTCATTCTGTTTTTTGCCTTGGAAGATAACGCTATCGGTCTACTTTTTGTCTAGGGATATAACATTAGATAAAATAAAACAAAATACATTGGCTTGTATTAAGCGACAAACACCATTTAATGATTTAGTGCATGATCAAAAAAATTACTATCTAGAATCAGTTACATCAAGTGCACAAATTATTCCATTATATGATGAACAAATTAAACTTAACGAATTGAAGTAATAATCGTAATTTTGAAATTAATAAATTTAGTGATGATGAAAGTTCTAATTATAAGATCAGAAGGATAAAACACTTGTCCTTCACAAAATAGCGAATACAGGTTGAGAGGAAGGCTAGAGACTTGTTCTATGTCAGACTCTTGGCTGTTGTGTAGCAATTCTATTCGGATTAAAGCGTTTAGTAATAAAAACAAAGCTTATTATATAGCTGAAATCTAAGCGAACTGTGCGAGTTATTTGGCTTAATTGTAACGGATTTAAGCAACGTCCAAATATTTTTATATCTTGCATACGTGCAGGATTCTATTTTCTGTCTCTATCTAGAGAAAAATATTGCAGAATATTGTCACAATTCGTACCTTTTATTTCTACTTCGCTGTATTCTGGAAAGCGGGAGTTTCGCTTTCTTACTTTTGGAGGGACTGCATGCGTTTTGTTCTTAGTCCTAACGCTGTAGTTTTTCAATTCACTCGAGTCAAGCACGTTTCAAGGACTTCTACATTTATTTTTAGTCTCTTTTATGGATATTTGACTTTACGTGAACATGATGCTTTTCTTGATGAAAAAGATGATTTAGCGTTGATGAGTAAGTTTAATCAATCAAATCTTGATCATACATTTTTACTCTTCTACATAAAAAGGTCTTCTACTCGGCTTTCCACTGGATGATTTTGCGAGCACATTAGAACGTGAACCATGCGAAGCTCGATCATTATTAAATCGTTTAGCTGATATGCTTGCGCAAGAAGCTGTGAAAGAGTTACAACGGAATGGTTTGCACGAACAAAATGTTTCCCACGATGCCGATGATAAACAATCTACTCTTGTCAAATCACAAAACTTGTTAAAACAATTCGGTCTAACTTCAGGTTTTTAATTTAGAGAGAAAACACCAAGAATGATAAATGCATTTATGTACTTATAGATATTCGACCTGTATTTGTTCAAGTGCAAGAACGTCATTCAACTTCTCCTATATGCTTTAATTTATCAAGTAGTTTATATTCTTCGCCTATTGATGTTGTTGCAAATGTGATCCTATCGAAACTGTCTGTCAGCAATCCAACAATGGCAAATGACGAAAGGATGAAAATTGTCAAAGAATACAAAGCACGCTATTGGTTGCAAGCATTTGGATGTGAAGAAAGACTTTTTGGTACTAAACCATTGATACAATCACGCGTAAGATTAACATCGATATTTTGTTTTAAATCTCGAAAACAAAAGAGTGAGAACGAAATTGGAATTTTTTAATTTTCCGTAGAACAAAGCGCTTGATGTCTCATCTCGTAGAAAAATGTTCTCTCTACAAGCATCCATATTGAACAAACAAATCTACCATACTATCTGCACACACTTGAACGGTATCTATTGAATTTAGAACAAAAATTCGGTTTTGAAACAAAGTCGGTCTTTCTTCGAGGAAAAGGGTTTGTGTCTCACGATCATCAGTTCTATCGCATGTTTAGTCCTTGGTACTTCTGAACATATCTTCTAATTCTTATCATTTACGGAGGAAGAGTTTTGACAGCTTTTCCGTAGAAAGTTTCGAATTAGATTTTTCATCGTGTTCAACCCGCTTCCGCGTTGACAACATGATAGAAATGAATTTTCTTCTATTTAGTACGTTCAAACATGTCTTCGTCTTGATAAACAGCTGTATTTTAAATTAATTAATATTGAAAGTGCAACCGGCAATGGTAAAAAACGGTGTTTAGTAATGATTCATGAAGCAATTAAACAAGAAGAAGAAAGAAAAAAACCACAAAGTAATCATTTTTCTTCTCTCCTTGAAATCCGGACATTTTAGTTTTTTTTTCAAGAATTCGGTGGTCGCAGCAATGAAATACGTCAAGTATGGAACGAAAAAGATATAGCTTGTAGATATTTTTCTTTACGTATTCTCTCTGGTCAATTAATTCCTGCTGGCGAATTCGATGAAGTAAAGTTTTTTATATGTTGCGTTTTTTAAATGATATTTACTTGGAATTTAAGGTTAAAATTACCATTGGATTGTATCATGGTACACAACCCCTATTTCCTGGTTCAATAATAGAAAGTCGTTCAGTTGATACACTGAATCCAGATTGGCAACAGGAAATAAAATTTGATATCACACTAGTTAATGTACCGCCGGCGAGTAAATTATGTTGTTCGATACACTTTCATCGACGACGAACATCATTATTAGTTTCGGTAAGACTTTTCTTTTTTTGTAAATGAAAATTAAGAAGACTTTTCCTTAGGATGAATGGATCTGTATTGGATGGGCGAATCTCAATGTATTCAATCACAATAGTTGTCTTATACAAGGACGACAAAAAGTACGATTCTGGCCAACAGAAACGAATAACGGCAAAATGACTTCATCAATGTATGGCTTCAATGAAAGAGCTTTAGCGGGTTTGTAATGTTTACTGCTATTGAACAGTGAACCAAACTGTAGATTCTTTGTAACTATTATCAGGAGAATTTCGAGAGATCAACGATATAACCGGTCACTTGAGAGACAAAAACCGATGGATGAATTAGCGGCGCTTGGAGATTGATCGACTCAGATTTTCTATTTATTCGGATTGAAAGATAGTTATACTTAAATACAAAGTTCAGAATTCACTGCAAAAACTATATGAATCCTTGAAGATGAACTATCAATTCATGTAACTTATTCATGTTTATTCTATTAGGTATAAATCCGGATCGATCTTATCCAACAGTAGAAATAGAATTTCCAAGTTATAAATATCAAATAGCAACGCTATCACCGCGCAACGGTCTAGCCATGCAAGCACAAACAAAAAACGAACAACTTTTACGTTCATGTGCATTTCAAGATGATGTAAAATTTATTAGTTTGAATAGGCGTGATCGAATTTTATTTTTTAGTTGGAAGAAACTGGAGAAAATCCTGTACAATCAGATTTCTATGATTGGCTTCGGTCAATTGAATTCGAATTAACTGAACAAAGTCGAGTTGAACTTTGGGATCGACGGTAGGCTTTTTTCTTCTTCTTTGACAAATAAACATAGACGAACTTAACTTTTATAGGTATGAATGTATGCGCGTGCCAGAATCATTGCCGCGTTGGCTTCGATGTGTTAAATGGAACAATCGTGATGATGTTCTTGAAGTAAAATAGTTCACAAAATTAGAAAATCTATATTCTGCATTTCTATCTAGGCCTATAAAATTGTCGAAAATTGGCCCACGAAAAATGTCGATCCACTGATGACTGCACTTGAATTATTAGATGTCGATTATCCTGATCCGTTTGTTCGATTTTCAGCTGTTCGTCTTCTTGATACACGTATTGATGATGATCGACTTCTGCCTGTTATATTACAAATTGTACAAGTAAATAACTCCGCGAAAGGATATTCCTAATGACGGGCATTGACCGTTGCATTTCAGACTTCATAGAAAATTCAACACGCTCTAAGATCTTCTGTTCGTTGTATTAGAAGAAAAAAACTAATCGAAGCTTTTAAACAAAGAAATAGGCGCTTCAAACATATTTTCTGTTTCCTTTTTAGGCTGTCAAAAATGAGCCATATCATGATAGTGCTTTAGCAAGATTTCTACTGAAACGCTCATTATTAAATCAACAAGTTGGACATTATTTCTATTGGCATTCAAGGTATTTTATTATTTGCGCGTATTTTTTCTGAATTTGCGATTTAATTTTAGAGCTGAATTAAAAAACCCACAATTTAAAGTACGCTATGGTCTTCTCTTAGAGGCATACTTACGTTATTGTGGTGAATATGCTGAAGATCTTGGGCGACAAGTACGCTCTGTAGATAAAATGATATATATTGCTGAAATTATACAAAATAGTACGCACGATGAATTATACAATCAAGTTAGTTCTTCATGATATTTTAAAATCGTGGGAAAATCGTTTTTTTTTAAATCTATTTAGAAAGGTTATCTTGCTCACATACTTACACGAGAAGGATACGCTCAAAATCTCCAATACTTTCGATCACCGGTTGATTATAATGCTGAACTTGGTTTGCTTGTGTAAGATTATATTTGTTTTTTTGAACTTTGCTTCAAGTTGATTCTTTAGTCTTGACCATTGTCGAATCATGTCATCAGCCCGACGTCCATTATGGTTACGATGGACAAATGGATCTGAATATGCTGAACACTTTTTCCCGACATTTGACCTTATTTTTAAAAATGGAGACGGTAAATTTTGAAATCTGAAATTTGTTTTCGCTTAAAAGAAATAAACTTTATAGATCTCCGACAAGATATGTTAGCGTTGCAATTTATTCAAATGATTGATATTATATGGAAAGCTGATGGGCTTGATTTAAGGTTTGAATATTTCTTTGATTTCGTAAAAACAAAGTAATAAAGTCGAGATATTTAAATTTCTTCTAGTCTTTTGCCATATGGATGTTTGGCTACAGATTATTGTTCTGGTTTGATTGAAGTTGTAAAAAATGCAAAAACAATCATGAATATACAAAAATTAGGAGGTTTAAAAGGACAATTTCAATTCGATGCTAGCGCACTCTATCGATGGATTGCCAAAAATAATCCCGGTCCTGAGAAGTAAATTAACTTACGGAATTTTCTCAAATGAGCCCATTCTGATTTTTATTAGATTGAAAAGTGCCATTGATTTATTCACAAGATCATGCGCCGGCTATTGTGTTATAACCTATGTGCTTGGTGTTGCAGATCGTCATCCGGATAATATTATGGTTAATGAACGTGGCCAAGTAAAAGAGAGAAACTTTACCGGATTTTTACCTAGTGATATTTTTCGATTTTTAGTTATTTCATATTGACTTTGGTCATATATTGGGAAATTTTAAAATGAAATATGGAATCCGTCGTGAACGTACCCTTTTAGTACTTATTGATGATTTTGTTCGAGTTATTACAAACAATAATACAGACAAAAACCCAATTGAAACACGCGAATTTAAAAAGTATGTCGAAATAAAAGAATTTCGAGCCTCCGATTTACCGTAGTTGAAAAAGCTGCATATTTATAGTAGTTTTTTACATTAATCCCACGATATTCTATTCACTCCTATCATCATTAGAGCCCGTCTTCAAAATTTCGTCTTTGACAAAACATATCTATAAACTGAACTTCGAAGTATTCTCTAAAATAAATATTATTGTTTTTTTTAGCTTTAAAAAGTTATGTATCAAAGGCTATCGAATACTTCGTCGCCAATATCGTCAAATTGTTTGTTTATTTAAATTAATGATGAATTGTGATTTAACAGAACTAAATAGTGAAGCTGATATGGCGTATCTTCGACAAACATTTGCTATTGACATCGGAGCTAATGAACAAGAAGCATGCGATCGATTTGAACAAATCTTACTTGACTCATATCGATCAAGCGTTAAAACGCGTGTCGATTGGGTTTTTCATGCACTTAATCATATTAAATCCTGAAAACAAGGGTCGGTAGATTCCAATTAAAAACAATTGCATTTTTTCCTTATAACAATTGTGCATTATACATCTTTTCCTTTCTTTCGAAGTCATTTATTTTTGTATACATTAAGTCTTTTAAAAAGAAAACGATTTGCAACGTAAAAACAGAAGACCATTATGTCGTATTGGTGTGTCGAACTTGTCTCTTTTTCTTTTTTCTACGTTAAGATTAGTTTAATGTCGTGTAAAAGATCTTTTTCTCAATAATAATAATAATTTTAATTTTATTGTCTACAAAATAAAATTCGTCGGAGTCGGTCATACGCTTTTCTCCCTGATTATATGTCTGTTCACTTGTAATCGTTCATATTTTGCCGTGTTTTATTTGTACAAGCGACTGTAAACTGAACAGCGACATGTTAAAAAAGAATATTCATAAAACTAATGTATTATTTTAAATACTTCTATATGATAGTAGAAAAAAATAATTGTCATGCTTTTGTTTTAATTAAATATGAATCTCCAATCTGTTCGATCCGTGGGTTTCATCGGTTAGCTATGACAAGGTTTTCTACTTGACACCGCATTCTTGCATAGCGAGTGCAGATACTGAACCGGCTGGCTCAATCGCTTTTGTCACTTCTAGATGTTCTCCAAATGAGACTATGTCTCTTTTGCACATAAAAAAACCTATTACACATTAATTTGAGCTTAGTTTAAAATATGATCCATGCACAATAACAGTAGTTCGGGAACGACGAGCATCACGGAAACTCACTGACTGCTGAAAGTTAACAGATCAATAGAATATTCTTCTTCCGTAAATGTGTTACTAGCATATTAAATATGAATTCTGCTTTCAGATTTAACTAAGTGTAACTAAGACGAAATGTCAGTTTGTCAATATTATTTACGCGGTAATTGTCGATATGGAGATCGATGTCGACTACCACATGTAAATAATCAATATGGTACATATATATATATATATTAATTTTTCATTTAATTTACTAAATGAATTGCTTTCTTTTCCTAATAGACCAACCGTATCGACATCGTGGTCCTCGTTCCCAATTCAATGGAGGCCACAATTATAGAACACCACATTCCGTAAGTTATAGTCCGGCAAGTCGACATGCTTCAGACAAGACAAACTCTACTCTATGCTTATCAGGGTCCTGTAAATCATCATCATGAAAACACTGCTATACCTCATCAGCAGCCTCGACGAGATTCTCCTGTTATACAATGGATTCGTGATAATTTCACAAATAAAGACAAGACAATAGATATCTTGTAAGTAATCCGATTTAAACTCGTCGATGAAATTTATCGTTGCGAATAGAATTGAAATAAAAGCAGAAGCACAAATATGGCAAAAATCAGCTGATTTCTGGCGATTTACATCTAGAAGGCTATTTCCCTGTGGACATTTATTAGAAGGTAAAGAGATTTTTCAAAAAAAAATACGCTTTATTCTATTATAAATTTCTCGCTAGATTGGATTGATCAATCATTTGAAGAACTAAAATGGACACATCGATGTATGGTGCATGAGAATAAAGAGCACATCTATGTCAGCAATTCATAGTTATAATTCAGAATGATATGTTAATTGTTTTTAGAAAAAAGCTTATTTTGATTATTGGGAAAAGACTGAACGTCAACTTATTGGATTGATAAAACTTGATCTTGAAATACTGAAGCCACTTGTACGCATTCGATCATCTTTTGATTTCTGCATTTTTCTCATAAATACTATTTTAATCTTAGAAACCATACATCGAAGAATATATTCGTAGCAAGTATCAGCCATCGAAAACGCTCTCAACTGATATTCGAATGAGAGATGTTAACGATAGTAGAACGTCGACTTCGTCTTTTCGTGCGCCAGAAACAAACTACACTCCAAGCGATCAAATTCTCGAAGAAGAACGTGCTGCTTTTGAAAGTGATGCATTTGAATTCGGACAAATACCTACGCATGCTCCTCCACAACAATTTTGTTAGAATTTATTTTGTGATAAACCAAAAAACATTTTTTTTCCTTTTTTTAACCAAGAATTCAAAATTTGATGTTTAATATTGCTATTAGAAAAAAGAAATCAAAGAATGGGATTTGTTGATGCAACATGTTTAGTCGAAAAAATGAGTATCGATGAACAAATTTGTAGAGAAAATCTCTCGAATTTTGATACTTTTTGCTTTTGGAATAGTTAGTTGGCAACGCAAACCAATCGCCGTTTCGAACATTAAGTTAATGAAAGCATATAGCGGAGAGTTTTAACTTGTGGCAAAATCAGATTCTTAAAAAAAGCATTTATTCGTGGCCAAATAGACACGTAAAGAGTTATAGAGTCTTCATCAAGCTGAAGGGTTGGTAAAGTAATTTCTTTATCGATACTAAAGCTGTAGCTCTAGCACATCTATATTTATATAACTCTATAGCGATACAAGCATTTTGAACAAATCAGTGGTGATCCAATACTCAGCTGCAAGCTGCCAATCAGGGAATTTGTTTGAGTCCAATAAAAGCTCTATGGCTCGGTTTTTGACGGTAGATACTTTTAGTTTTGTTGTAGTCCCTGAATATATTAACGCAGCATCTAGTTAATTTCTATGTGTGATACTATGAATATCATTGAAATACTAATCACTTTGAATATATTTTTTTCACATAAGAATTTCATTCCTTGATTGCCGGCGCAAATGAATTCGTCTATAAAAGTAATATACATATTATCGAATATAAAATCCTGAACAAGATATAGTTGTGTTGTGTTTGCCACAAAATGAACGAGGAGTCAAGCAGTGCACATGTTTTAAAGTAAAATTGAATTCTTATACTCTTATCGTCAGATACAATATATAAATGCTTATACTTTCTTCTGTGAATTTCAATAATATTGCAACGTACAGAGCATGTAAATTGATTTAAAAGGGTATAATTCTAGGGTGTGTGCGTGTGGGTGTAGTTGCTTGCATGTGCGGAATTGAAAACTCTTCCAAAGTATTGGAATCCATACGACAACATGCTGACACCCACACCTTATAATCATGTTGCAGGAAGGCTCCTTAGTGATGAAAGAGAAATCTTAAACTCCGGCCGGTCTGGCCTGGCCAGGTTAGAAAAAACCTGCCGGTTGCAATTTTACATGCGACTAACTATCAGCTAGAAATATCAAATGATGAAGAATAAATAATCAAACATTTCCACTCAACACCGCCAAAAGAGAATATTTATCTTCCTACAACGTCATTTTCACTAAACAAAGATAAATATAGACGTTTTCTCTTTTCATACTATCGTTTTGTTTGTCGAACAATAGCGTCTCGTCAGCTTAAGTCATGTTGGTAGTTGCAATTATTTTTCCCTGAAGAAAGACGACTTGATATTCATGGTTTGTTCCGATACGAGATGTTTATAACGGGGGAAAAAGAACATTGTTGAATGTTTCTTTTTCGCAATTCCAGGTAAACAATCAATCATTGGATGAGAGAGAAGTACCTCTTTTCTGGCATGATTACTAGATGATAATGAGGGTCAGACATTCATTCACGAAGAGATTTTAAAAACTAGCATAGCAGTAGTCAAGATTTTTTCGTGAACCAAATGAGCCCAGGCAATGTCCAGCTGTCGCACATTTGATGAGAGCTAATACCTATTGTACGAGAGTTAGACGGATTCTACTGAATCAATTACTTAAAATAAGATGTTCTACACAGGATTCACTTTCAGCAAAAATAGAAAGCACCCATAATGATAAGAAAAAAATAACAATATTTCTATTTTTTGTTTCTTTTATAATTTACTACATTATAGTTTCACGCACAATTGCATTATGTTTCGTTTTCGGTATGTTTATTTCTATTTCAGATAAAATATTTGATTACTTTCGCTACATGCAATATTTTTGGTGATTATTTCCTGATCGATTTGTTCATTCATTTCTCGTGAATTAATGAGTTTGCTCTATTGAAGACGATATTATTTATTCAAATGTAACAGTCATTTTTATGACATGAATCCTTTTCTTTCATATTATTATTTCTCAAATATCGCTATAATCAAATCGCGAAAGATCTTTCATCTGTCCGTATATCAGTGGCTAATACATGGCCTAGGTTTATTCAGTGTCATCACACCCACACCCTGAAATCAAATAGTTGAAAAAAAGAAATTTTGTGAAATGGACTGAAAATGATTTACATGTGTTTTACACAGGAACATTCTAAGTTGGGCTAAACACATTGATGTTCTTATTGAGGACATTGCACTTGATTAGAACGCGATCATTCAACTTCATTCTAGTGCTTATAACTCCATTATTTCTCAAATTTTTCAGAAGATTTTTTTCCACCGATAGACGCCCAAGACACTGATCTGCTTGACCATTAAATTGACGCTCATTTGCTCACTCTTTGGCTGAGATATTAGAGTGAAACGTCGAAGGTGTGAAAAGCTCGTTCCAAGTTGGGCCTTGCTCTCTACGGGTTGGTAATTGACGCAAAGCGCAGTTCACTAGACTGAATACAGAGATATCAACATAGAACCAATGGCACATTCGGGAAACATTAATAACGTGCAATATCAGTATAATGATATGCAGGCGATTCTATTGAATAAACTGAAAGAATCACGTCAACAGTTTCCTGATTATGATTCAAAATCAATTCATGTCCTAGCTGCTGTTCATGATAATGTCGACGGTCAATTAGAATTATGTTTACAACAAGAAAGTAAAGAGCATACAGGCGAACGCATCGTACTCATTCCGTATCATTTGGAAAATTCACATTGGATTGGAATTTTAATAGAATTTCATTCAAATGGACAGATTAAACGAGCCGAATATATTGATTCAGTGAATGAACTTGATGGTGTTCCGGACGGATTGCAAAAACAATTCACTAAAGTTTATCCGAATGGCAGTTTACAAGTCAAAAGTGTGCAAAAGCAAAATGATTCAAACAACAGTACGGCATTAACTGCTGACAATTTGCTAATAGCTGCAAACGTTCGACTTCCAGCAAACATTAATTGTTCGAAAGAAGAAACCTCTACTTTGTCATCAGCTACATACACTCCAAAGGAAGGTAATGAATATGAACTCAGCGAACTCCAACAGAAATTAAATAGTGGTTTGCAAAAATATAATTTTCAGAATGCAGGTGAACTGGAGACAGAAATACAAGACACGACCGAACGAATCCAGAGATTTCATAGACAAAGTAGAACAGAACAAGCGCAGGAAGAAATGAAGTTTTTAGGCGAACTAAAAGAATTGAAAGAGCTTTCGGATAAAATAGCTAGATGGACTCCTAATAAGTCTGTTTCTCTATTCAGTCACGAATTAAAACTTCAAGAATTGAGAGATAAGTTAAATAGCGGTTTGACAAAGATTAACCTCCTGAATGTCAATCAACTACCAGGAGAAATACAGGATGCAGAAGAACGAATCCAGAAATATCAAAAACAAGGTAGAAAAGAAAACGCCGAGGATGAAATGAAATTTCTACTCGAATTACAAGAATTAAAAAGAATTTCAGAAGAAATATGCACTCTGACATCCGTTCCTTCTGCTGATCTTACGCATGAACCAACTACCGAGCCATCTCTGTCAGCATTGCCGGTAATTACTGAAATCAGCACTTCAGATGAGCACAATAAAAAACGTTTATATCTTGAAGTTTTACTTGGCGATATGGCCGATATTCCGTCCTGTGCTGAAAAAACCATTGTGGAACTTCTCGTGCAATACGAAAACAGATTACTAGAAGGTTGTACATCTTCACAAGAAGAAAATGTAGGAACTTCATCGTTAGAGAAACTGACAGATCAAATCAAAAGAGAAGAATTTCTTATGGAAGATACCAAAGTTATTCTTCAAGACTTAAAGATGCATAAAGATAGTAGCAATTACCAGTCCATAGTAGATTGCTTGAAAAAGCTCTTACAGGCAATCAGACCGTTGAATGTACTAGAGATACAGAGACTTGTAAGAGAAGCGGAAAATACAGCTGAATTAATTCGTGACAAGGAAATTGTTCTACTCATCGGTGAAACTGGAACAGGAAAATCTACTACCATCCAATTTTTAACAGGTTCAAAAATGAAAAAGACTAGAGTAGAAATTGCCTCCGGCAAGTTTCTAGAGCATATTACAATAGATGGACCTCCCCAAAATCCCCAACTGCATCGCATTAGTAGTAGTGCATTGAATAAATCAGAAACACGTTATATTACGCCTGTTACAGTGCCATTGAAAGATATTCTGGGTGCACATGAGAATGGCCATATCACTCTGTGTGATGCGCCAGGTTTTAGTGATACGGCAGGTCCAGAAGTAGATATTGCAAATTCTCTAGGAGTTATTGAAGCCCTCAAAGGAACTGAGAGTGTCAAATTACTTGTTTTGTCAAGTTACAAAAGCTTAGGTGACAGAGGACAAGGTATTCAGAAATTGGCAGAGATATTAATCAATATGGTAAATGGAATAGGCGATAAACTTAAAGCTATAGCTTACGTATTCACAAAATATCCGCCAAAAACGGACATTTGTGCTTTGTTAACAGATATAAAAGTATCAAAAGTAGATACAAATTCTTCTTTACGATCAAATAGTGCTTTTATGGCGGTACTAACGGATATGATTGAAAAAACTGAAGAAGGCGCTTTTGTAATTGATCCCATTCACGATAATCCAAAAAAATTAATTAGAATGTTAAAAAATATGAAAGGTATTCATTATCCAGCAGAATGTTTTCGCTTTTCTATGAGTGGAGAAACTCGAGCAACTATTGAAAAACATGTACAACGAGATAGACTTGGTATTAGTTATGCAATGAAAAACAAAGACAATAAACTTATGTCGTATTATTTGAATGATTTGAAGATATTGAAGGATTTGATTAACAAATATGATGTTTCACAAATTTATGAGCAATCGATAAGTTCAGCCAACGAAAGTATTAGTCGATATTGTGCAGAAGTAAAAGAAAAATTTAATCGTGTCATGACCAGTCGCGATGGATTAACAGTAGATGACATTCGAGACTATAAAGCTTGTGTTGAATATCTTCAAGAAATTCAACTTACCAAAGAACATTTAGGACTATCTTTACCATCACCTAAAACATTGATGCAAAACGTTGCTTTTCACCTCGATGAAAGAAGACGTACTTTGCAAGAAGAAGGTTTAGACAGTCCTTTAATTGAAATATATTTGGATAATTTTCGTATGCTTAAAACGTCGTTTAACGAACTCGAAACCGATTATAGGAGCTGTTGCGACGAGTTCGAGAAACATTTCGACAATCTTGTGCAAACTGCACGTGAACCTATTCTAAAAAATGATTTCAAACAAGTTGCAGAAATTTTTACTAAAATATCTAAATCTTCTCATATTCTAAAAAATCATTTGTGTGAACAAATCAACAATAAGCATAATGACATTGTCCAATTGCTCTTACGGCATCTTAATATGTTTTTGAACGAAATTGATCCGATTTTAGCTAAGAACAAATTAAATAAAGATGACATCAACATTCTTAACAGGCACATAGAAACATTAAGATCAGCCAAAGAAAATTATGTGCTTCGACAATATATTTCTACATATGTAGAAATGTTAAAAACGATAGTTGAAGTCGGAAAGAAACACAGTATGGATAATATGCCTCCAGTATATACTACAGATTTGAATGACATTTACGATGAATTCATCGCGAAGATTATCCAGTATTTTGATGGCATAGTCCTTCGAATTACGAAACGTTTTGAAGAAAGTGATAACCATGCTTTAGAAAACATAGGGGAATTAGTTGAAGATATGAATGTTATTCGTACTATTCCAGAAGTTGAATCAAAGACTGCGAGAACATATTATAGTACCGTTGAAAATATACGCGATTATATGGACCAACTGCGAAGAGATGTAGGAAACCAATTAATTGATAGTATTGATCAGCCATCGGAAAGCATCACTGATAAACAACTGATAAGATCCTTATCTCATTTGAAGAATACACACTGGATCGAAAGTGTCAATCCAGGAAAATATGATACATCAATGAATCAGCTGAAAGAACAAGTAATAGAATATGCTGAACAACTGCAGAGTCGTTTGAAAAAACTTGATTTAAGTTTGAAATGTCCTGATAATGTTAGTATAGCACAGCAAATTGTAGAGAAAATTGAATCCATGAAAATCTTGGAACCCGATTTTCCACAGCTAGAAAACTATAGGAATGCTATATTCCGACATGTCTTACAATGTACAGAAGTTGTTTTGAATAGTATTGAAAAGGATTTTAATTTTTCAGATCAAATAGCTTGTGAGGAAGATGAAAAATTGAAACAAATTGAAGAATCAAAAGGCTTACCGGAATCGAGTTGTCCGATCGCACAACCAAAAACTAGGCAAGAAACAGAATTGGAAGGAATACGAGTTGAGAAACTCGAGTTGATTAATCATATAATGATTCTAAAGTCATATGTTGAAACATATGAAAACATATTATCGCCAACCACAGATCACGGGATAAATAAATTGCTTGCAATGGTAAGCAAAGCAGCAGTAACTGAGAAGAAAAAGACAGATGCGATAAGCTATTTACAAACATTTGGATATGAAAGTATCGAAGTTGTACAGACAACAATTTTTAAATTCCTAATCGAATTACAGAAAACTGAGGAAGTTGAAAGAAACTTAACTGATTCTCAAAATCGTCTTGAATCAATAAAAGAAGAAAATGGACCACGTGAAGAAATAAGTTTGTCATCGGATGGAGCATGCAATGCATCGCAATTACTTGTAAAAACCGTTCAAGATAAAACAAAACCTAAAATGAAAAGTGAAAAATATAAACATTTGTATAGATTGAATGATAGGTTCAGAATATCTACGGCGAATAATGCATTGATATACATACGTCATTGTGAACAAATAACTAATGATTGTATACGAGCACTTACAGCTAGGGCCTATGAAATCGTGAGAGATTATTTACAACAATATAGTAATTTTCTTGAACACAGAATACATCAAAATTTTAGGGACGGTATTTGTAATGGTGCCTCTCATGAAGAAGATCATTCCCATTATTCTCAAGACTTAGAAATAAGCTTGAGTGCATTATCTTCTCTTAGTAGATTTCAGGATGTTTCTGAATGTATGGAAGTCAGCGAGAAGTTAGAGCGTTGGCAACAAGAATTTATTCAGCATCATCGGGTCTTGTCTGATAAAATGCAAGATTACAGAATTTCGGGGGAAAGCAAAGAGTTAAGAGATCATTTACTCATTGCACAGGCATTGATCTGTATCGATAAGTTCTGTGGAAAGGAATTTGAAAATAATGGATATGGAGTACTATACAGACAGTATCGACTAGAGTTGATCCAAGGATGTAAAGAATCTTCTAGGATTGTTCTAGAATGTATAACGAAGGGTGATTATGCAAAGGCCGATGTAGAGTTATATAATATCATTAGCAGCCAACTTCTAAATACTAAAGATTCAGCTCAAATGAAACACGATATACAACGTTCTTTAAATACGCTGATGAATGATACTCTGAGTATTGCCAATAGTCTAGATGGAAAAATTGAGAAAGAAAAGAAGAGAAGAAATGACATACTAAAGGAAATCAAAGAAAATGTGACGACAATTAGACTTATATCGAGCAAACACAATATTATGGGGTTACTTGGTAACGAAACTAAAAGTCGGCTGGAAAATTTTGATAATGACATTAATAAAATTTTATCCGCAATTCTTTTAACCGGCCTAGATTCGATTGAAGACTTTATAGATGCTGATAGTTTTTTTGAAGCCGAGCGAGATATGGATGTTCTCAGTTGTTTAGAACGCGAGTTAACAGGCTATTGTTCATCAGAAGATGTGACTAACAAAATAAAAGCACTGAATAACAGATTGGCTAATATAGATGTTGAACTTTCAAAACAAAACGATTTTACTGATGTTCATAAATACTCGATCAATCCACCAAAGTATATTTTAGCTAAGTTAAAGATGGCTGCCTCACAGTGTGGTGGAAAGTATAATAAAGCTTATACAAGTATGTTTGAAATAATTAGACAAAATTTTACTTCAGCTATAGAAAACGCACGTGCTACTCCTTTAGGTGAACGAGCTACAAAACTACGTGCATTAGATTACGCATCACAGTTTTTACCAGAAGAGTTTCAAAATCCATTCAGATTACAGTTCGAGGAATTGAGCAAGTCTATGGCCGATGAGGAGAAAATATACAGTCAAGATTTGGAGACATGTTTCATAAATTCAGACGAACATGAAGATGCTATTAAAAACATAGGAGGCCTAGCTAAGCAATATACCGAACAAAAACTGTATGAACTTTTTAGTAAATTGCGTGAACAGGTTTTAAAAAAGCTGCATATGTATCGAACGAATGTTCAGAGTTGCTTAGATATGCAGTCGACTGTTGATACGATCAGAAAAATTTTCATATATAAAGAATTTTTGAGTGCTTATATTCCGGAAATAGAAGGAATTTGGAGCAGTACTCATGTTCTCATAACAAAACGTTTTTTAAATTGTTCTGAAACGTTAGAAAATATATCATCGTTTGAAGAAACAGATCTAGTCGAAAAAGCTTTTTATGAAATGCAGATTTATCTCGATTTTTCTGTTGGATTTGATCTAACAGCTCAAGTATTATTGTCGGAAAAAATTTTTCAAAATGCTACAGAAGGTCTAAGGAAAATGTATCAATATCTACATGATAATTCTACAAAATTTCGCGACGCTCTGGAAAAAATAAATATTTTTGAATTGCACACATCTGTGATGATATCTAAGAAATGGGACCTGTTGGTAGTGACAATTAATAGCTGTCGACCAAAACATAATTTACTACAAAAATTGCTGGAAGCAATGAAAAAAATCATTCCATATGCAGAGATGATTTCTGAACTTGAAAATCTAATAAACCGTTTAAATATTCAATTCAATGTTGAACTTGTCAATGATGATACAACAAAATTTGAAGCAAAACGTGATGAACTGTTTAGTAATATTAAGACGACACTGAGTACGATAAAAGCAATAAATTCTAAATTTAAAGATCTGTTACCATCGCCATCAGATGTCAATGGACTAGAAGAAAATCTTAAAGCAAAGATTGAAAGAATCATTAGGGAACTTCTTGCTCGAGCATCAAAAAAAGAACTTTCTATTAAAGATGCAGATGAGTTTCGCATGTATTATAATCATCTTTTATCATTCGACAAAAATGTAAATCTTTCAGGATTCAACATTCGAACAGTTTTAGACTTCGCAGAAAAGCAAATTTTAGATAAAGTAATTGCTTTACGCAAGCAAATAACGGCGAGTAGTGCATCTATTGAAGAAATTTCTCAAATATTAATTAAAATGAAATTTCTTGCTGAGAATCTATCGTTGTTTGACAGTAAAATTAATGCAGAAATAGATGAAGGACTAAAAATTTATAAAGAAAAAAAGGGTATGGTAGGCATCATGCAAGTAATTGCAGAATTACAAAAAATAGATCCGGATACTCGATTAATTAGTGAACATTCGTGTTTAACCGGAGAAGGTTGGCGACGAAGACGTGCAAAAATGCAAAAACAGGATGATATCGAATATATTCTCAATGAGTTAACTGGAGGCGAAATTTCTAAGCAAGTTTTGCGTTCGCGCTACCAGGCGTTCCGGAAAAAATTCGATGAATTGGTGTCTAGTAGACTAAAATCATTTGATCCAAATACTAACAAAAAGCCAGATATAGCCATGTTAGTCACGCAAATCAAACACATTGCTGGAACAGTAGCGCATACATCTAAATCTGTTACCTGGGGTTATGAGTTTACACAAAATATTCCTGAGCTTTTAGCGTATATTTTCGCTGTGTGGACTTTAAAAAATACTCAACATTATAATACGTTGCGAGGCATTGAAACGGCGCAATCTTATCTATTGATACCACATGTTGGGCAGGTCATTACTGTATTTCGTCTTTTAGGAATTGGTTATGAGTCTCATGCAGCAATAGAGTTTGGTAGTACATCATTTACAGGAACGGTCGGTAGTAGTTTGATTAACAATTTAGTACAGATAGGCACAGGCGAAGGTAAATCAGTTGTATTGGCGATCACTGCTTGTGTTTTTGCTCTCATTGGAGTAGACGTCAATTGTTCATGTTATAGCGAAGTTTTAAGTACACGAGATAAGAAAGATTTTATATCAGTTTTCCAAGCTCTAGGGATAGAAGATCGCATTGAATATGGTACATTTAATAAATTATGTGAACAGCTTTTAAATGAAAAATGCAATATACGAGAAAAAGTAAGTGATATGATTGTAAACAATAATATTGCCCTAACTGTAGCTGATAGACGAACACGTATACGTCCAAAAGTATTGTTAATTGATGAAGTAGATGTTTTTTTGAGTGATCAATTCTATGGTGGAACGTATACGCCGGCAGTGTATTTAAAAAATCCTTCAATCAAGGCATTGCTAGATTCAATTTGGCAAACTCAGACATTAAAAACATTAAATAGCGTGAAAGCTCTACCAGCATATAAAACTTGTGCTGCTCAGTTTAGTAACTGGATGTTTCTCTTCGATGAAGCAATAAAAGACATGATAGCTGCTCTACAATCGTTCAAGGGCTCAACATATATTGTACATAACGATAAGATTGTTTATGTCGAAGGTGAATCGATGGTAGACAATGTAGTACGTGGTTACGATACCATTTGGGCATATTATTTTGAAAATGAAAAGGGCAAGATTAGTGGAAGTAGTCTGGAAACTAACGTGGGGATTATTATAAACTGTGGAGCATTCTCATATGCTGAAATGCCTCATGATTTTGCTTATATTGCGGGCGTCACTGGTACCTTAAAAACACTTGCTAAGTCAGAGAAACTTATACTAACTAATGTGTATAACATACGTAAAAATACTTATATGCCATCTGTATTTGGAAAAAATAACCGTAATTACGATGAAACCACTGATGTAGAAGTAGTGGAGAAGTCTGGATATTTCAAGAGAATTCATCTAGAAATTAACGCTATACTCAAGGCTGATCGTGCAATTCTTATATTTTTCGAATAGGAGGAAACATTAATGGCATTTTTTTATTCTCCTGAATTGTCTTCAATAAAAGGAGATGTACAAATAATAACGGAAACAGTTTCTGTTAAAGAGAGAGAATTACAGATTAAGCGCGCATCGAAAATTGGTAAAGTGACATTATTAACTCGAATGTTTGGACGAGGAACTGATTTTATATGCGATAATCCTAAGCTCTTAGGCAATGGAGGTATTCATGTGGTTCAAACATTTTTTTCGAAAGAATTATCCGAAGAATATCAAATAATGGGAAGAGGAGCACGACACGGTGACCGAGGTTCATATAAAATGATTTTGCTAGACAGCGATTTAGAATGGGTGCTAGGCTCTACTTGGAAAGAGAAGGTTTCAAAAATTGTTGGTGCTGAACTTTATAAAACCATTAATAGCGCTCGCAATATACTCTATGAAAGTAAATGTGAGGCAAAAAATCTTGGTATTGAACAACGTAAGCGTGACCACGAAGATTCTAAAAAATTTGCGGACGCGTTATCGACAGGAGATATGAAATCTATAAAAGCATTTCTGACCGAGCAAAATAGAGGAGCAAATATAGCTATAGATCATTCACGTACAGTTTTACTGATGGATGCGACAGGTTCTATGTCTAATTTGCTATCCGCTGCCAAAGAAACTGTTTGTACAATGTTTAACCGCGCTTCAACTATCTTAAAGGAGAGAGGATTGCCTAGCGATGCATTTCAAATGCAGTTTACAGTCTATCGAGATTATGATTGTAAAGAAGATGGCATTCTGCAAAGCTCTTCTTGGGAAACGAGGCCACAAAATTTGAGAACTTTCATGGCAGGAATTTCAGCCAGTGGTGGTGATGATTTTGAAGAAGCAATTGAAATCGGGTTGTGGCATGCAGTTCAAGAAAGTGAAACGCTAGAATCGATTTCTCAAGTTATTTTAATAGCTGATGCGCCAGCAAAAGATAGAGCAGCAATTAAAAGAGATCGAAAAGCGAATGGGGATGAGTCATATTGGAATCGAACTAAATTTAAAGAGCCAACACATTTTACGATCGAGCTAGAAAAGTTGAAAAATAAGAAGATTCCTGTTCACGCATTTTATCTTGTCGATGATGCACGGGATAATTTCCAAAGAATTGCGGGTGAGACTGGAGGACGTTGTGAGCAGCTAAATATCTGTTCCCCAGGCGGTGCTGAATTACTAACGAACATTGTAACAGAAGAAGTTCTTAGAAAAGCAGCTGGAAATCAAGGAGATGCCGCAGTCGAACTGTACAGAACAAAGTATGTGAGAAGAGCTTTTACAACTTAAAGAGTTTCATCACTTTCCAACCATCTTTCCATTCTCCCCTCTTGATATTTCTTTATTCGTTCGAAATTGTGTCTTATCATGATAAGTTTGACCCTACATAGTTAATCATACAGTCACTAACAGGTTCCTTTCTTTTCATTCATTTGCTATATTGAATCCTTTAATTTCTTTATACCCGCGTTTTTTATTTTATGTATTCGATTCTTTTTTTCTTACTTCTTATATTTATATGAAAATAATTCCTATTGTTTTTTTTTATTGGGTTTGAGTATTAGAGAATTTTCAAAGATGTCGTGCTTGATTATTTTTATGTTCATTCAAGATTTTATGCAAAATAAATTCAATTTCTATTCATTTAGTTTACTGAACAAGGTTACAACTACGCTGAAGGAGATGCCACACTAACCATTCCACTTCCCATTGTAAAATGAAGCTTATGGTTTGCTTTGTAGAATAAAGAGTCATCAGAAGATTGATTTTCTATGCATCACAGCGACACAAAATAAATACTGTCGATTGGAAAATAAAATTAACGTGATTGGTTTTTAATATCTCGAGAATGAAAACAGCAGCTACCCAGCCAGAGAACTGCCTTAAAAAATGCATTACAATATTTACGCGTTATAATGTAGAATTTTTGAAAATTTATGCGCTCTTACCCGTTCACAGATGAAATTTTAAGCCCGATTAAAAAATCATTGGATTTCCGGTCAAAATATGGTCCACAAAGAAAGTAATAATAGTGACCATCGTACTATAGAATAGAGCGCGAATGAGATCGTAAAAATCTTGAGAGTATGGGTGTGGGTGTATATAAACAACAGGAATACATACACCCCACACCCACACCCTACAATCAACACTGAACCCTGAAATGTGTAAACAACGAGGTATTTGTTTTTGAGTTTCGTAAAGATTATTTCGTGTAAAACTACTGGTTATGACTGAATCGTTAATATGATTGTTTTCATTTTTGCACAACAAGTGAGAAAACGTCGACACCATGCTTTGTATAGCACATGTTATATCTATACTTTTTCTGGCTGTTTGTCTTCGTTGCTGAGGATGGTCCGAAAGCACGTGTTAAAACAAATGAAACATCACTTTGCTGTCTTATGAAAAGCAACAGGTATAGTACAATTGTAACCTTATCCACAGCTAAATTACTTATACGGCTGACTGCACACACAAGTGTAGCGTTTTGATTGCTGTACATATAAACAGTGGCATACTTCAGTATCTCCCACAAAATACTTTCAATAGACTGCAGCGTTGTTTTCATCCTAAACACAATAGTCGACAAAAACTGAAGTATGTATTTCAATAGTTTATCGCCATTAGTGCGGCATGAATTTTCCGGTTCTCTGCTGTGTAGGCAAAGAATAATTGCACACTATAGGTCGGTATTCATCGAAAACTTTGTTTAGAATAATGTAATAGAAGTGAATAATTTTAATAACAAAATATTTCGTCTTTGTTGTGATACTTTTAATTAGTTAAATAAATAAATCGCTGTTGCCTGATTGAGTATACAATGTAGGTGCCAATCTGTCTTTTAGTCAACTCTTACTAAGATTTATATGAACGCCCGTATGCACACCCATTCTGTTTGAAGCATTATTTTGCATCATGTTGGCGATGCGAGTCGGGAGACCGGAATTTCGGCCCAAGGAATATTCGGGCCGGACTTTCGGACCAATTTTATACAAATTCATTAAACTCGGAGAAAAAAGGAATTTTTTTGAAAATTGGTTTCTAGATTTTTTTAGTGCCGAGCGAAGCGTCGTAGTGCCGAGCGAAGTAATATAGTGTTAAAAACAGCACTTATATTATTATAGAACATAGTATGGCGTTTTAAGATACATATCGTTTATCCACAACAAGCACGAACAAATCTAGTGTAATCTCAATATTGGCTTAAGGATGCACATTTTTTAGTTTTATTTTAGATGTAGAATTCACTATTGCTGGTATATTTTTCGAAATTTGTTGAGATGTAAATTAGGTATAAATTCGTTTTTTTTTATTTCAACTCGTTTTTCTTCTATGGAATGAAAACGTCGCTTCGCTCGGTACTAAAAAAATCTAGAAACCAATTTTCAAAAAAATTCCTTTTTTCTCCGAGTTTAATGAATTTGTATAAAATTGGTCCGAAAATTCCGTGGGCCGAAATTCATGTAACCCTGCGAGTCTCCCTTTATTACTATCACTTAAAACAAGAACGAAAGGAGAGTAGCGCAAGTTACTCAATATGTTGTTCGATGAAGTGATAATGGCAATGGTCTCGATTTTTCTATTAGATAAGATAACGACATGCAAACAAGAGTTGCACGGCAACTATTATCATCGAATTTTCGTCATTTCGTTTGTTTCAGAATCATAGTGTTACTTATTTAATTCGTTTTGCATCGGTGATGGGAGGAGATGTAATTGGAGAAATACATTTTTTGACTGAAACCACCGACGGATGCCCTCCATGGGTTGATGTGAATGCAAAAACAGCCTGGGCAACATCAAATTTCGGACAAGTTCCTGCGCGTTTGACCATTCACGATTTGCGAGGCAAAGAGACGAGCATCAATCTTGATACGAATGCTATTGAGGTGCAGAAATATGAAGGTGTCATCAGCGATGGCTTTGACGACAATAGTGATGCGCAACGAATTTACTATGATGAGCTTATTTCTTTTCTTAAGAATCATCTTGGTGCTTCACGTGTGATCATATTCAATCATTTGTTTCGCTCTCGTGGGCCACCACGTACCGACGATCAGTGCGATGTAAATCACAAGAATCCTGTTTTTTATCCACATGTTGATCTTGATCCAGCTGGAGCTCAATGGAAATTAAAACAACTGCTTGGAGATGAGGAAGCAGAAAAAGCGATGAAGAATCGTTTTCAAATAATAAACATTTGGCGTCCCTTAGGTTCCGAAGTTATAAGAAATAAACCATTAGCAGTTTGTGATTACGCTTCTATTGATACAGACAATGATGTTCATCCACTTGAAGTTCGCGGATCTTTGAATGCTCTCTCGGCCTATACCATATCGCGAAATAAACAAGACGCTCAAAGATGGCTCTATCTGAGTGACATGCAATCGAACGAGATGTTTCTTATCAAAGTTTTTGATAGCAATCCTCATGTTGCTCAATATTGTTTTCACACAGCTTTTGTTAATGAGCACGTACCTGAATCAAATGTGGAACAGAAAAGCATGGAAGTCCGCTGTCTTATATTATATGATAATTAAGAAAAATAAATTAGTTGAATAACATCGACATATGCTCCCATGTGCGTGTCGACTTTTTACCGCTTGCATAAACTTATATTGAAGTCTACTCCGGTGCAATTATAGCATACTTATCATACATTTTTGTATAGGGCACAAGTTATATGATTTCGCAAGGACTTTCACACTCTGTCTCATGAGATTTTATTGAAGTTAAAACAAGAAATTATATGCATTCAAGACATTTTATGCAATAAGTACACAAGTTGACTTTCATCAGTTTTGCTTTCTAAAAAGTTGCAAATAAGTAGGCGTTCGATAAAATGTTCTGTTCTTCTCTTTTCTTTTCTTTTCATATAACAACTCGATTATGATTTTTCATTGTGTGCATGAATGCGCCATTGCCAATAGGAACGCATGAAAAGTAACATGAGACATTGTTATAGAAGTTTTTCTTCCTCAAACTTCCGATTTAATTCAGCGTGATGGTAGTATATGTGTACCTGAATGATTTATTTCATTGGATGACGTTTAGTATTGCATCATTTTAGATCCTGATTTGTATTCGTTTGTAGTAACAATTCTTTAATTAGATAGGTAGATATTAAAATCTTGAATAGATGTCGTTCGATTGCTGAAATCAGTTTATTTATTTATTTTTATACTAAATTTTGTGATGGGCAACACTTGTAACAAGTCAAAAAAGCATAGAACGGAAGTAGTATATACAAGGTAAAGGAAAACTATGTTTTACTCTCACTTGTTTTTACTAATGAGACTGTTTTTTTCAGTATAAATAATTTTCTATCTATATTCCTTAGTGATTTTAAAGATGATATTGATCCAAATGTAACCTACGTTCCTAATGAACCTGACTTACTCGAGCCTTTATTCGTTAATTCGAATGATAAATCAATGCTGGATCGTCTTCTTGGTTGTGCCTATGGACAAGCCCTAGGAGATGCTTATGGTCTATCTACTGAATTCGAAACACGCGAGAGAATCCATCGTAATTATCCTGACGCTTCAATACTAATTCCATTTCCAAATTACATCACAACTATCCATTCGAGACGATGGAAACGAGGTGATTGGACTGATGATACTGACCAATGGATACTAATTCTAGATACATTGACTGAGGGCAAAGGTGATGAGAAAGTATTTGCTAAGAAATTAAAGAGATGGATTGAAAATGGTTTCAGAGAAGTAGGCGATAGCGTTGGAAGGGGATTAGGAGCCAATGTGCAGCAAGTATTAGTCTTTTTTTAATTTTAAGAATAACTGCATCTTGCCATCCTTAACAGGTCGTTTACAGTGATGGATACCTAAAAGATCCACTTAAGACAAGCGAAATGGTATGGGAACGCGGCAATCGTCAAGCAGCACCGAACGGAGCGGTGATGCGATGTTCAGCAGCGGCGTTTGTGCATTACAATGATCCAGAAAAGGTCAAATCAACGACCATATCAATGTGCAAAACTACTCATTTCGATCCTCGATGTATTGCTTCGTGTCTAGCTGTTTGTTTGACGATTACTCATCTAGTAAAAAATGAAGTTAACGATAATGAAATCGAACCGCTGATTAAACGTGTTCAAGAGGAAACAATTCAGATACTTGGTGATAATCTTTCTGGTGAACATCGTGAATTATTCGTATGGCATATAGATCCATCACGTACTTTACAAGACTTAAAATTAGACGATCCGACAAGTATTGGTTTCACATATAAATGCTTAGCATCGGGTTTCTACGGTTTAAGATCGAAACGTTCATTTCAACAAACATTAAATGATTTGATTCGATGTGGAGGTGACGCAGATACGAACGGAGCAGTTTGCGGTACCATGTATGGAGCAAGATATGGCTATAAAGCATTACCTGCTGAATGGCTAAGGGCAATGCCATTTAAAAAATGGTTTGATCAAAAAATAATTAGTTGCCTCACACATATGAATTTTATTACTGCTGAACTGATAGATACATAAATTGACCTTTATAAATAAATAAAACTTGTTGTATTCATGAATATTCAAATATTATTTATTACAAACAGTGATTAAGTAGTAGATTCATTCAATAAATATGTTTTGATTTTTAAATGGCAAAATTAAATGTTCTGAAAAAATGAGAGTGACATTATATTTTCTCCACCATGTGTGATATTATCTATATAATATAACATTTATCAAGATAAATTTCTTACTGAAACTGTATCGTTAAGTGTTTAGTTAGATTTTTTACGTTGCTACACATACATATGCATATAAAATATTTCGACAAGTGTACGTTTCTTGTCCCATTGAATAGAAATGATTTTGCCTATTTGCTTTATACTTCTTGCCTTTGCTGAAATAGTTCTTGGTGAACTATGGAATACAACAGGTGTAATTGCTCCATGGGAATCTTATTTGCAGATGGGTGAGATTAAAAGACCTCTTGGTCTTACACTCAATCGATCTTCGCTTGTTCATCGTCATTTTTCTATTGGATATCTTTGTCTTCACTCGTTTATGTATGATGAAGCTAATAATGCTTTCGACTTCGCTATTGCTATTGATTCTACATTCGTTGAAGCTTATATTGGTAAAATGCTTAGGTATGCTCATAAGTTTGGTTCGATTCCTATTTGCAAAATTTTCTCATTTTTTAAGCTGTAAACAGGCATTATGGGCGCACACTGATTTTGATTGTGGCTTATCAGTATACAATAACACTCGCACGTTAAATAGTTCTCTCATGACACCTTTACAGAAACAGCTTATTTCAACAGTTTATCAATGGTATTATTATAATCCGAACGTAACAGCTGGCGAAGATGCATTTCTATCATCGATGCGCAATTTATCCGTAAATTATCCCAATGAAACTGATATTCATGTATTATTGGGTCTTGCTCTTCTCAATGTTGCTGAGCATCAATCACAAATGGAACCGGCGGAAATGAAAGAAGCAAGGATTGTATTACAAGATGTGTTAAGAAATGAATCAAATCATTCAGGTGCTCTTCATTATCTTATACATGCATATGATGTTGCTCAAGTGAATATATCTCAACAAGCTACGGGTTATGCACATCACTATGGAGAAGTTGCATTAACGTCATCACATGGACAACATATGCCTGCTCATATCTGGGTGCGAATAGGTGAGTGTTGTTTGAATGATAATCTTCTTCGGTAGCACAATAAAGCGTTTCTCTTGTATTAGGTTCATGGCAACTTGCTTTATCAGCCGATTTGCATGCGACTACTGCCAGTTTCGAGCTATGCACAACGAGATTGTTAAATAAGATTGTACCAATTTCTTCAATTGAACTCAAGCCTGTTTTTGCTTTACTTAATGCTACCCAACGAGTATTACTTCTTCAATGTGATGCAGAAAATCGAGCTCATTCCATGGAATGGCTTTCATATTCTCGTCTTCAAACTGGCGATTGGTCAGGAAGTCTCGGCCTACTTCAAGATCTATTTATTTCGAATAATATATCCAATTTAACGCCGAACCATTACTTACCATTCGCATATCGAACGCAAACTCGTATGATGATCACACTATTTCATTGGTTTCCTTATGATTCTCAATTTTTAAACACAACACAACAGTTCGCCGAACTCGATGAGATGAAAGCAACGGCTTTAGGAAATATCTCGCCGGCACAATGGTATCCAATATGGAGTGAAGCAGGAATTCGATGGAGTAAGAACAAATTGTTGTACTCTCTCGTCTATTAGTTTATCTATGATTGTTTAGGTGAGTGCCTTCGATTATTAATGCTTGGCAATACCACACACATAGTAGATCAATATCTTGCTCGTCTTGGTGTTCTTTCTAATAAAACTGCTTCATTAAATCAATATATATCTGATAGTATTTCAATAATGATATCTCATATTCGTGCAATTCGTTACTATAAGAACAAATCATGGCAAGAATGTCTGAACGAACTGAGCGATGCTGATCAACGTGACGCAAAGCTGGTTCCTAATACAAATACTCCTTCGTTACTATTTGCATATTCGTCAGAGTTACTTGCAGTTCATTTGTTACTTCTTCATGAAAAATTTCAAAACGGGTTAATCCCTGGAAACTATACGTTAAGAAGTAGACAAACATCAGTGATGGACTTTGCAACAAAAGCCTTAGCTCTTTATCAAGAAGCCAATGCAGTGGCACCCAATCGAATTGTTAATATCATTGGTATGGCTCGAGTTAATGCTCAATTGGATAAAATTAATGAAGCTAGACAATTCTATCAGTTATTACTTACTCAAATGAATTTATCCAACAATACTGATTCAATATTCACTCAAGAAGCGAATTCATTTATTGCTAAATACCCAATACAACCTAATTTCGCATCGAAACAACATAGCTATTTTTCTTCGATTTTTCTTTTACTATTTTTCAACCTTTTCAAAATAGTTAATCAATAAAACTATGATCGAATGTAAACCTGAAAGAACACATTTACCTTGTTCTTTTACGTATTTTCATTAGCAGTAAATCTTAATTTACAACTTAGGTAGATTATTTTCCACTTTAATCTTACAAGACCCGTAGAATGAAAATCAAATTGAGAATTTAAGTCAAGATATTTTTACTGATTGATTTCGATACCATTTCTTTTTCGCTCATGTTGCATTCTCACTAGTAGTTGATGCACAAGCTTCCCTTGCTGAATTAAAAACTTCTGTGCTATTTGCGACGTTCCTAAAAGGGATCCACCAATAATTAGTACATTTCCGTCTGTTACTACAGATGCAGTAGGCGCAAGCCGTGGTTAATTCAATCGGCCAGTGGGCTCCCATAAACCTGTAGATGTATTATATAATTCACACGTTGATGGCTCGAAATGATAATCCCCTCCAAGAGCCAAGACATTACCATCCGTTAATTGAGACAACGTATGCCACCATCGTTCCCAACTCATTTTCGTGGTATTTATCCATCGTCCTGTTAATGAATCGTACAGTTCTGCGCTTGCTGTAAGATTAATTCCATCGTATCCACCAGAAATTAGGAGCTTTCCATCTGGTAATATAGATGCTGCGAAACAAGTCCGTCCGATATTCAAGTAACCCGTATTTGTCCAGAGTCTTATCGATTGATCATACAATTCTGTACTAGCATGAATAGCAGATAAGTCATTGGAACTATCTCCGCCAGCAATTAAAACCTTTTCACTTTTTCAGACACATGCAATATGATGAAATCGACTAGCATGCGTGTCATCCACCCGCAACCAGCATAAAGTCAGCTCCGATAACCTAGTCACTTGATAAAAACGTAGAGTTAGAACATGACTTTTTAGAGAAGCAGTTTCATGAGCATCTTAATCGACAGTCCTGCTCTACCCTATTGACAATCTAGATTCAGTACATACTATAAGGAATCGGTTGTAACGATGAACAGCATCATAACAATAGGACAAGATTTTTATGATCATCTACTTTTTATTCTTGCTTAAAACATCTTGAAAAGTAGTTGAACAAAAAAAACCTAAATCAAGACACTATTTGGTGCTTATGATATAGTGGTCCATGAGTAGAAGGCAGAGAAAATTTTCATCGGAGGAAGCAGAAATATGCAAAGACAGCTCATGTCTTAATTTATTCTTTGCCATCTACAGCTTCTGTAATGTCATGGATATTGAATTCGCCTGAATACAGTTTATAGCCGATAGATTTGTTGGCCGTTCGCTTTAAAGATCTTGCTTGATGTGTCCCTTATGCATTCGCGAAAAGTGATTGCTTCAAAAAAAAATCGTTATGAATTCCGAGGTTATCGTCAATAAGACAAAAATTCCTAATCCTGAGCCAATCTACACCACTGACCGATAGAATCTACTAATTATTATCAACATACGATATCATGATAGAGAGAACTGGCACGATTGGTTTCTTATTGTTGTAGTCTTCGTTGTTGTTATTTCTGTTGTTGCTATTAAACAAAAGAAGCTTTGGGATGTTTTAAGTTTAAATATTTAGCTTATTATTATAATTTTCATCAAGATCTTTTTAAGTTGACTTCACAACCAGAATTATAGATCATCTGACGAAAATTTTATTCTCGAAAAACTCACTTATCCAATGTAAAAACACTAGTTTCATCATAGAACTACTCCATTAGATTTGCTCCATCTTAGATATCAATTGGGGATATCAAGTTTTGAACTTTGAAAAGTTGACTAATACAATAGGTGTCAAGTCAAATAATTGAATATCTCCGAAATTGTTGTACTATTATAGAACTGAAGATAAGCATGATGTTTGAAAACAGTCAACATACCATTTGTAATGGCTGTTGTCATCGTACATAATGTAATCTTTCTAGACAATAAAATAGACACAGCAATAGTTGTTGTTATAACACATGACCCAAAAATTATCATAAAGATGAGTAAAATTATATGCCAATCAGTAAAAAGAGACAATCACTCATATAATCCATCATTCAAAGATACGAACTTCTTTTTATGCGTTGTTGGAACCGTCGCTAGTTCTGGCCTAACGCGAACCGTATTTCTCTCGCTTTGCTCTTTTTCCACAAATGACAAGTGTTCATTTCAATATTTTATATTATGCTTGTTAGAAAAGTTGTTGTTCTTCTGTGTTCGCTCACGTATTTGCATCAATAGATTGCCTGATATTCTCATGATCTTTTACAAAGGTAAGTATTTACATGAATACGTGAACGATGTGCAAATATACGAAAAATTCATGTGCTAAGAAAAATATGAACGATCGGTGGTAATATAAATGTCACCTATCTTCTACTAAAACTTTGAAGAATGTCGCATGTAATAACTGAGCATAAATTTATTGAAGATATCTTTCATATCCTTTCTTGTCGGAGAAAACTGAAAACTTCTATCTTTTACACATGCAGATATGATCTTCAATGCTCTTGTAATGCAGATTTTTCTTTGTAGGCAAAATCTAAATAATTCTAGATCTATTTTTGCAAATATTTTCGTCTGCTTTCTTTATGAGAATTCATTCTCTTTATTTATTATCTCGTATCTGTAAAAAATTGACTCGCAGATTTGCTTCTTTCAAGATGAATAACGGACACTTACTTGCCAGATATACGCTAGGATAAATATTTCTGCAGAAGATGCGAACGTATTTTAAAAAAACTTAGTTTCTATGTTGCGCTCAATAATAGCAAAATAATCGAGCATTAGAAAGCAACGAATGTGAAGAAATATTTGTTACATATAGATAGCAAATACCTGATTCATTTTCGGTAAGCGGTGGCTCTGAATATTCGTAGTTGATAAGTGTCGCTGTCCTTCTGCTTCATAAATTGTTCCTTGCTATTTCCTTTGAATTATTTTATCCGAAACTTGTGAGAAAGAGTTTCTCTGGAGTAAATATTCTAGAAAGCAAATATCCCACCGAATAACTGTCCTAGAGTCATCAATGCATATATTTTGATTGATGACATTATGCGAATAGGAGAAAAATGCATTTTTAATATTCGTTATGTAGACTTGGTACTCTGATTTAAAGAATGAATAAAAACGGAAAGACGAAAGCAATATTGATTTAATAGCTTCTTGCGTGCCTACTTTATCTAACACATTTAAGTATATCTGTTTGTCTGCTTCTTGCAACTAAATCTGCTCGTCATCTTCACTTTGATCATCTTGTTCTTCGTTTTCATCAATTGTTTGTTAATCATGATCACTGATACTAGCTTGAACTATTTCAGTACCTTGAAGATATGACATTGAATTTATTTCTGTATAATCAAGTGGAACAAGTTCACGCTAAAATTCAGCTGATTTTCTCTGTTCTTTTCTTTCTAATAGAAGTGGATTTTTCTTATGAAATAATTGATTTAATGAACGCGCTGAAGCTGAAACATTGCTCACAAATTCAACAATTATGTTTAAACCAAATAAAAAGTAAAAACGGAGTCTCTTTTTCTTTGTTTTTGTTCTAAAAATCAAATGCATCAACAATAACGTCACCATAGTTTCATTCTATTATAAAATTATTTGCAACTATTTTACAAAAAATTTAAAGAAATACCGGATGCATGGAATAAGTTCAGGTGATGTTGATGGAATATATGAAGTATAATGACGTTGATGTGGCTGAAAATACTGTTGTAAATATGGATAGAAATTTAATCAAAGTATATGCTGACAGGCATTTGAACATGAGAGAAGATCTTGATGTAATAACTTCAAGCCTCTACTACGCACATGTATACGTTTTGACAATGAAGAACTAGTATTCTTCTATAGATTTAAAGGATGGTGAAGGATGTCAAACTAGAGGGTAGGGGCTTCATCAGAAAAAAAATTGTAGGAGAGCGGGGGCTAAACTTATTTTTTTCTACGGGGTGCTAAGACCTCTGTGGGGGTGGGAAGTGTAGCGGCAGCCCTCTTCTGTTTTTTCGTCTCCAATCAGCAACCAAAAACCAGCTCAGATAATAGTAACTGATTTGAGCAGTTGTTTTGGAAGAAGAATCGAAATCTGTATTCCAGGAAAATAATTCATTCAAGAGACGCATCTTCCAGAAACAAACGGTTATAGTATAATATTTTTTCATATGGTCAGAGAACTCAAATTACAATAAACAGCAAGAGAAAGAGAAAAAGAAGAAGCATAAGTCAGAAGTATGTGTGTGAAGAAAAAATTACGTTTATTTATTGTTAACCCTTTTTCAATGTATTCTCACTTTCATATAAGCAACATCCCATGTCACAAATACCGCTTCAATTTTTGCGGTAAACCGCGGTAATTTTAGAAACGCGGTAAATTTGTATGAAATGGGAGCCGGTAACCGGAGCGGTCATACCGCGGTTAGCCGCTAGTTTTTCCGGTACCCTTTTTTTACCGTCATCATATAGGAAAAAAAGATGCCTAAAATAGCCCGATCAATGACTTTTAGCAACAATTTTTTTATAAACGCTCAGCGAACCGGTTAATCGAAAAATACCGGCGGTAAACCGCGACGTTTTCCGAAACCCCCGGTTTACCGCGGTAAATTTGTGTTGATGGGAGCCGGTAACCGAAGCGGTAAAACCGCGGTAAACGGTCAATTTTACTCCGGTTTTTCCAACATGGGTAGCGTTTGGAATACGAAAAGGTATAAACAAGCCTTTTTAAGGCATTTTTGCACAAAAATACTGACTTTTGCTGGTAGCTTGTGTTTTTCCATAATTATTTAAATCAAATTAGATAGATCGACGCAGAGTATACGAAAACTTATATAAAAACTTAAAATGAATAAGATCGGTTGCTTTTTGCCTGAGAACTTGAGCCCTCAGCTTCAATCATACTGGTTGACCGTTGACCGTTTTGGCTATATTGTTACTCTATTGTAAAGAAACAAAAATGAGAACCTTTTATAGACATGAGATCGTTACAAATTTTATGTACGTATAACATTAAACGAGCAGGCGATCTTACAGTGAAATTTCATTTATAAAGTCATAGTATACATATGCATGGGTTCTCTAGATTATTCATAAAAGAATATATATCCTACAGATGGCAAAGAAACGCTTTCTGGTTAAATTGTTTCATTATTCTCGGTCGCATTTTTATATTTACTCCTTTGAATAGAATATTAGTGAAATATATTATAGAGTGGTAGTATCACTGCTTAAAAAAATCCGCTCTAATGAAGTTTTTCATACAAGAAATGATTCTATATTAAATTATGACTTTTTATTCAGAAAAAGTATAAAATCTTAGTCGTAACATGATATTAGTAAGGCTGTTAACGCGACTAGTGGCAGAACGAAGGAAAAAAATCTGCCGGTAACTAGTCCCGTTTAATACTCTAAACGATAAATAAATCGGCAATAATCTTATTCTTTGAAGCTCACTGAATTGCAAAATGCAATCAACAAAGTGCCAAGGGACGTTTTTTTGCATGAACATTGTTTTAACCGTCGATATCATTGATCAGTAACTGTTGCCAATTGATCGATACATTTCGTTTTGTTTTTATGTCAAGGTTAATTTATGCATGTCCTATTAACAGTTTTCTTTAGAATAAGTTTATTTCTGAATATTACCGATCAAAATACTATTTATCTAAGTGACAGTAGTTTGTTGCATATGATTGCAATGTTTTTTTTCTCACAAGAAATGCGCATAAAAGCATGGAATTTTAATTTTGTTACTAAACACATAATTTACTTTCCGTTCAAGGATGCATGAAAGCAAAGAAGAAAAGTAAAAAGATATGATCAATGAAGGCAGTCAACCGAAAAAAATATTGGTATATGAAGAACGTTTAATCGGAGAGAAAACGCTCGTTCTGTCAAGTGTACTTTCATAGAGCAGTAGTATCAAATGGTGATTGAACTAGAAAAAAAATAGATTGTATACTAAGTACAGGAAAGGTGTATTTACGCAGCTAGTCAATTAACAAGAGCGCATTCTCGCATGGTAATAGTCGTTCTCCTTTGACAGTTGACGGTGAAACACCAGTTGATATCATATAAAAAAAAGATTTATGTAGGATTGACTGAATGTGTGCAAAAAAATATGTTGAAAAAGTAATGAATTTTTTTATAAATTTAATTGGATATCTTTTCTCTATTTCTTAGATTCTTCGGTAATTATGTCACAAAAAATTAAAAAGACAAGATCACCTTTGTCAATATTCTGTTTGTTATTTCTTCTTTTTTTTACTATTTTGATTATCATTGTCGGACAAAAAATAAGTGTACCAACAACAAATATCAATCAACTGGTTCTGGGCTTACGGGCTACTTGGAATAGTTCATTTGGCCAACAGGAACGTGTAGATTTTCTAAATAACGCTACAAATTTAAATTCGACAATGTCAACTACTACATCTGCACAGTTCGAAATCAATAAACATACAATGATTTTTACACATTCGCGATTGTTTAGTCGCAATAAAACATTGGAAACAACGATTGTATGCGTAGGTTCACCGTACAATCAATCGTGTTTGTTTCATAATTTATATTATGTTGATAGCGCATTTGTGATTTTAACAGTAAATGGAAGTTATTTACCGCCATTTTCAGTGCGAACAGATGCTTTCAATCTGTGGCCTACAACACCGAGGACACGTACTTTTAATTCATATGCTGATCTTGAAATTTTCGTTCGTACTGTGATCGATCCAAAAGTAATACCAGCGGTCACACTTCATTTCGGTCAACTATGGCATTTCAATATTGGTCATGCACTTTTTGATGGACTCTATCCGGCCTATGTTGCCCTTATACGTTTTCCTCCGCGACATCTCCATCCGTTTCGTATTCTTGCCGGAGTAGGCAACTGTAACGATTGTTGGAGTGAAGATGTTTATGGTCGTTTCGCTGGTCTTGGAATTCTTAAGCATATTGTTTTAAATCAAATGTCAAAAGGAAATTGGTTTGTGTTCGAAGAATTTGTTATGGGCAGTGGAACAATGTGTCAACGTTGTACACAACCTAATTTTCAATTGCCTGGAGGTGTTGAATTAGATGCTTCGAGACTTTTTCGTGATAGAATGTATCAACAACATGGTCTTATTCATCCTACTGTTAGACAAAAATCGTCATCCGAAGGACGATCACGTCGTGACGTTCTTCTAGCATATGTTGTTGATAATAAACGTTATACCGCTGAAGATCGAAAAGAAATCGATGCGGCCATAAGTGAAATAAATAATTATACGAATTCATATATAAATAAAACGACAGAAAAACTGCCTTGGCCATTAGTTCGCGTTTCCTATCTTTATTACAATAAAGTAAGAGTACAAGAAAATAGTTCAATACAAATTAATGCAACTAAAACTGATTCTCGATCGCCAACCTATGAATTGATTGACAATGATTTCATAGCTCAATTAAAAATTTTACGTCAAATGGACATTCATATTACTGGGCCAGGTACTGGACAAATGTATCAAACATTTCTTTCAGACGGAGCTGTATCGATTAATCTTGGAGGCATAAGACCGTGGGGGGCAGAAAAAACAACACGAGCATTTGCTTCATATCTTGAGCAATATATGACAAGCGGAGCGCCTTATATCAAAGGTCTTTACTATCCAATTAATGAACGACCTCGTGGTATTGAAAAGCGTATAGTTGTTGAATTAATTAGAAACGCATCCCGACTTATTCTGGAAGGTTTTTCATTACCAGTTAAACCTCTAGAAAATCTAGCGCCCGATGGTCAATTATTTGTAGAAATGTGTGAAAAAGATAAAGAGTTCTGTGCATTAGTTACAGAAAGATTACCGAATCGGATGTTTACTTGTTTAGAAATTTGGGCGGAAGATTTTGTTCACGAAGAACGTCAATGGAAATTAGGAGGTTTTATGGATAATAATAAAACTATTAGTTGTGCGTTTAATCATACACTATTGGACCAATTAAGAACGAAATATGGCATTTCACATTTCAAAATGCCTACCTGATGATAAAAATCGATGTTAAACACAAACGTTATTTATTATTTAGATTAGATTTATTTATTTTTCTGATATGAATTCTAGTAAATTGATGCAAAAATAAAATGCTCGGAAAATGAAAACTTATATTTTTAATATTATCATAAAAATAAAAAGTTCCGGAAAAGTTGTTATTGTGATGCAAAGCAATTTTTTCTTTAAGAATATATCGGCATGAAAATAATTTTGAAGAGAATAACGATCTAGTCATTCTATTCTTCCATTTAAAACTTAAGTATACACTTTTTTTGAATATGAGTGTGTGCATTTTTAAAATCTTTGGTTGAATTTATGTGTTCCCATAGAAATATTGCATAGACTTGAAACACACAGAGATGAGGTGAATATTCTCGAAGCTTTGATTTTGTCAGATGAGAAATGTCGATATTGATAGACAGACTAATTATTTAGATCTTTTTATTTTCGATTGATACCGTTGATGAGTTAGAATTCTCAAGTGATGTTTAATATAATTCATCGATTTTACTAGAACATAATGTTTCATCGTAGGAAAAATATACGAATCAACCCTTTTACTTATGATTTTGATAATAGTAAAGATCTGCACATCGATAGTTTGGATCCTAGGAATACACGCTTTAAAAATTTCGCTGAAGTTACAAAAATTAGTACGATGTTAAAAGAGTGGATCCATTATCGAGCTTTGCACTTTTATTGCGTAGAAGATAATGTGTAAACTGTTTTGAATCTCCTATTTTCGAATCGAATCTTCAAAATTGTTCCATTTTATTTAGCATAAAGATAAATAAATTAAATATTTTCCTGTGGAATTATCTTGTTCGACGTTTTCTACACAGAAATTTCTGCTTGCTCGAATCAATACTTCTTCTTCATTCGGGTAAGCAGATAGAGATGATATGTCCATGCCAGAGAATCGATAGCTGGTCGATTTAGCAAGATTAATAATAAACAGAGTGTTGCCGAACGATTCAGCTTTGATGCGATTCTTACTCGTTGATGAGAAAGCATCCCAAGTTTTAACAAGGCCAATAGCTTGTTTGTATGATTCAATAGTTGTATTATCAAGGTCAGCACCACGATAAAGCGTATCTGCATAGCCGAAACTGCGAAATGTGGATGAGCAATCACAATGGAAAAGTAGCCAACAAAATGGGCCAAGATTCTCTAATTTCGATAAATCATTCTCTCGTAATGTCGCATTCACTAGACGATAAAGAAAACTTTCTCGAGTATAAATCGATACAACATTCATTTCGATTTCTTCATTAGGTTTATTTTTCAACGATCGAAGTTCGTCTGCTATCCATTTGGCTTCGATTGGTTCAGACAGTCGAGTACCTTCTTTGGCAATACCATCTGCCGCTCGTTCTAATAGTTCGTTCATGGGTCGGCCTCGATTTTGTCGTTTCCATTCGTTGATGAAACGGCCATCAGTCGTTGTCTGATTACTAAATGATTTAGTGAGTTTTTGAGATGCATAGAAACGTTCAGGACGAAGAGCAGTATAGTCAGACGATTGGACAACACTACGTTTAATCGGCAAACGAGAAGATGAATCATTTTTATCAATGCGAATATTTCTCTCTAAATCAACAAAACAACGATCGAGTTCTACTTGTTTCTCGTGATTTAAAAAGGCTTTTTCAAGAATTTCTTTCTCAATGTCACCAAATGGCAGCCACAAAGAATCTGATGCTTTGTAAAACCATGTCGCTCGTTCATTTGTCGAAATATTAGATTGAGGAACGGTTGCAATAGATGATCGTTGATTGTCCGCAACGATTCTGGTAGAATTTTGCGTCGAGCTTTTTCTTTGCATCGAAGAATTTTTATAAATAACTCTTTTTCTTCGTATGCAGCATTGGTTCACGTGAGAAAAGAAAGAAAATTGCGAACTCAGCGTGGTGCAATGAGTTATTTTTTCTTCGACCAGCAAAATAACAACAAAATTTTCTTTCATTCTTCGCACTATCGCAAATGAGAAGCCGTACCTACATGAATTGTTTTTTTTACAGGTTTCTCAATGATGGCAATGCCAATATGGTATTCTTTTTGCTGATTGGAACGATTCCCACTTTTTGACTAGGGTTGTTTTTTCATTATTTTTACGTTTTGNTACATGAATTGTTTTTTTTACAGGTTTCTCAATGATGGCAATGCCAATATGGTATTCTTTTTGCTGATTGGAACGATTCCCACTTTTTGACTAGGGTTGTTTTTTCATTATTTTTACGTTTTGGTTGGATTAATCAAAAAGTAAGATGCTTTCTTATATAGTAATGCATGTTTTAACTTTTGATTTTTGTAGGATATATCGAAGATTTTAGCTTCGGGTCCGAAATTTGAGCTAAACCATTTTCTTATAAGCAAAGTGAAGATGATTTCAAAAATAAAAGAAAATTTTATTATTTTTGCAGTAGAAAAAACAATCAACTCAAGCATTTGGGTGTGGGTGTGGGGTATTTATGCTTAGATAATATGATCGGTAAACAGGTTCTGATTTGCCAGAATGACGTCAATAATTTGGAAATTTTTAATTCCATGGTGTTCTTGGTAGTACTGGAAATCGGCGAAGAAAGATTGGGGGTGAATAAGAAGGTATTTTACTCGTCGAAAGATCCGTAGATGTAGAAAATATTGAATTTCTTCATGGCTAAATCATTATTCAAATTAAATTAATTGGGCACATTTATTTTGTCATGAACTAAATTAAATAGATTATAATGGTGAGTAGAGGTGTCAGCCAAAGGATTGAACGGCCGCGGCGGGCAACAATTTTCAATTTTTGAAGATTTCCAGCGACTCCCTATTTGAATGAGTAATGTCTTCAGCGGCGGCTGCTACGAATTCTTAAATTTTTTTCCACAGCGGTGGCTGAGTTAAAAATTCATTGACAAGAATTAAAAGAAAAATATTCGAAAGTCAGCGGGGGCGGATGACAGTATCAAAAATGTTTATCTCTTGCAGTGGCGCAACGACTAAACTTGTTTTCGCAGCGGCGGCTCCCCAAAATTCTTAAAATTATCAGTAATTTGGTGGCTACGGCGGCTGATATTATAGAAAAATCGGCTGCTACGGTGGCTCAGTCGTACGGCTGACACCTCTAATGGTGAGTCTGTTCATAATGAAAAATAAAATATCTCACAAAAAAATCAGCATATAATTAGAAACGTAAGCGTCTTATACTATTCAGTTATGGATTAATATAATTTTACTGTTCAACATTCGCACTCTATTGGTTTCTTTAGTTCCTATGATTGTAATTGATAATGCTTTAAAATATGCATAAGATGATGAGGAAAATCTTTTCGGTAAAGTTACTCTTCAAAAGAAAAGAGACTACATTATTGAAGATGAAGATTTTGAATCATAGCAATAGTAGAATCGTTTCCATGGGCGATACCAATTTACAAAGTGATAAACTGATTGTAACGAGACTTCTTTTAATTTTTAAGGCATTGGTCCAGAAGTTTAATCAAAACAGCCATTATATTAGAAAACTAGATCAGTCCAGGAAATGAAAGCATTGGTTTTGCAAGAAAATAAAGAGCCTCTAACACAGTTATCAAACTATTGATATGATATTTATATGAATCAATTTTTATAGATTTCTCCTTTATTTCCGAATTTTTTTACGAACAAATATAGGAAAGTACTGATTACACGAAGTTTTTACTTGCTAATTTGGATACATGAATTATTATAGCATAAAATGAGTTTTCTTTTTTACAAGTCAATTATTTAGCGTTTCATCTCAGATGTATATCTTAGAGTATCGTAGAAGAACCTAATCCTTTTTGTAATGAGGGACGTAGGACAGGAAAGACAAGAATAAAGATGACTAAATCTATTTGTATGCAGACACAAAGCAAAGAGATTGACTGAATTCGTTCGGCATGAGCATTTTTCTTTTCTTCCTTTAATATTATTAATTATTAGCGATCATATTTTCAATCTGAATGCGCCTGCATCTATACATTTGTAATAAGAAAAGAAAAAAAATCATCGAATAAAAAAGAGAGAAGACCGAATATAGCATTGATTCGCTATCATATCTCGATGGTCGCGAAAAGAAAAGCTTTTCGTTGCCGCATAACACTTTTTTCTTACCATCGATTACAGAAAGCGTTCCCACAGTATGTAGATCGAGTTATTTAAACGGTAGTAAGTAGCTACTAAACTATGTGATTATTTTACGTCTTTTATAATGTTTTTATCTATTTATTTATAAACACTTACAAGTCACATGGAATGAGAGTGAAAAATATGTGTTCCTTTTTTTCTGTTGATAATGAAATATGACGGATAATGTTCTTAAAGTCTATCTTGTTTTTTACTTGGGCTGTGAAATACAAAAAAAAGTATAATAAAAGACTTCTTTAGAATTATCTGACATAGAGCGCTTTTCTATATGCACTCTATGGACTTTGCTCTTTATTTGTGATAAATAAGAGACCCTCATATCTTCTCGTGTAATTTCGTGTAGTTTGTCGTAGGTCTTTTTTTAATTCTCTCTATAATCGATAAATACAGAGTTATTAATAGCTACGTAGACAGTTTGTGTTCGACGCGAATTTTTTGAATACAGTCAAATAATTTGCAATGTATATATGAGTATTTTTATAGTGGAGAAAAACATAAAAATTAATACAGAAAACGTGTACTGTCGCCAGAGATAAAAGTGCGTCGTACAAGAAAGAAATGCGACTAAGAGAAAAATAGAGCATCAAATAACTCAACTACTGTCAACGAAAGAAATAATATCGCGTAGTAGATGCCGCAGTTATTACATTGGCTAGTAATAAAGAGAGTTCTTTGAGAGGCATGAAATAATTTTATTTTTCTAGCTGTGGTTGAGCTTTTAAGTTTGATTTTTTTGCTATATTTTTACATTAAATGATTTGATTTAAATTTTAGTTGATGCATAGTTTTATTATTTATCAAGGAATTGGGATGGCAAGTTCAATTGTTTGTGGTTTTTTCTTAGCTAATCAACGTAATTATGACTCTTCATGTACGAATAAATACTTGTTTAATAATATTCAAGAAGAATAAAATTTTCCGTAACTGACGAGGGAAGATCTCCGAGTGATGCCAACCATTCGGGTCCATATTGTGCTCGTAAGCAGGATCCAGTGAGACTAGAAAAAGTCTAAAATATTTCGTGTCATTAAGCCTTTCTCTCAAAGTTATGACCGTTCTACTGAATTTTCGACCTTGAACAAGGAATTTCGAACTGAAATTTTTCCTAGCAATAGGTCTCATCGATGTTAGAAGGTTCCAAAAGTTTCAGTGAACACGAATGCATCATTCTTGAGATATTGCATATTGATGAAAACGGCCATTTTCCAAAAAAACGTCGTAAACTTGACTTCTCTTCAATATGCAATATCTCAAGAATGACGCATTCGTGTTCACTGAAACTTTTGGAACCTTCTAACACCGATGAGGCCTATTGTTAGGAAAAATTTCAGTTCGAAATTCCTTGTTCAAGGTCGAAAATTCAGTAAAATGGTCATAACTTTGAGAGAAAGGCTTAGTGGCACGAAATATTTTAGACTTTTTCTAGTCTCATTGGATCCTGTTTATGAGCACAATATGAACCCGAATAGTTGGTATCACTTGGAGACGTTCCCTCGTGAGTAGATTTGTCAATGCTTCGTTGCACATCCATCTAGATTGAAAGTAAACATTTGGATTTTGTTACGCTATTAGAACTTTCAATTGAATGACTTGAGCACTCCTAATAAAAAATACTTTTGTTTTGCATTAGAAAATTCTTTTAATTCTGTTCAGGTGATATTGTACAATATATTCGTGATTCGCTTTTGCCTTTTCCTGTAAGTGAAATTATTCATAATCAATAGTTTTTATCTTTTTCCTGTTAGATTCGTGATGAAAATCATGAAAGTTTGGCAATTATGGTGATTAATCATGCCATAAATATTGGTGCTGATCATTTAGCAATAGCTAGCAAATTTGAACAACAAGGTATAGTTTTATGTATTGTTGTCAATGAAGCATTTCCTATTGAAAATTGGAATTTTTATCGTGACTTAGTTCATGCCACTGGTATGAACGGATTTTTTACTTTTCTTTAAAATACTTCTATGAAATATTGCTTTATAATTTTAGGTGGCGAATATATGCTTTTCCGGGATGCTCCAAGTATTCTTGCAAATGCTCTTTTCTCAGCTGTTGGAGGGGAGGATACACTTCGTCAGGCATTCTTTCATAGTCGTATGCCAAATCCACAAATGCCGGTGAACAATGGTGATAATATCGAAGAACAAAATCAAGAAATCAATGATATTGGTGATCTGGATTTTGACCATGGTCTTTCTCAATAAGTCAAATATGATAGTCTTTCAATTGGTCATGAACGCCATAGATATTTTTCCACAACCTCATTTTAGTTACTGTAATTATAAAATAGAATAGAAGATATAATCAATTGCACGATCAATTTATTCATATAAAATAAAATATTATTCATCGTGAATAGTATCAAAATATTTCTATTTGCCATTATTTCGCGAATCGTAAAAATGCAGATAGAAAATTAGCAACATGATGCCGTTGAAACCAAAAGATAATAATACGAATGTAATTCATTTCTTTAACATTTTTTTATCCAGAGTAGCGAAAAACAATTTCAGTGGAAGTCTCTCTGTTTTTACTGGTATAATTCGTTAAATTTTGCACTGCCATACAACGAGAGGATGTAGAAAAAGTAAATTTTGTTTTAGCATAGGAGAAGTTGATGCCTTAATTATTTAGAAACAGTAACTGTATAAGAATGTTGATAAATAACAGAGAAATATAAAAAGATTTGAATTTCATTCTCTGCCAATTTTTAATGGACGAAAAAGTCCTCAAATTGCTATAGAAAAGCTGAGATAAATGCGAATCGCTAAACGATGTGTTCTGATACAATAACAAACATGAAAAAAGAGAGACCGGATCAGCCAAATTTGTACATCAAAATACAAGAAATTCCTACTTGCTGTTCAAGCTTAGTATTCTGCAAAATGTAGTACTTTTCGTAGCATTTTTCAACACATAAGATTTTCAGCATATAAACAAAATTCAATTGTTCTCTGCAACTTGAGAGCGAAACATAACGGGAGAAATCATTTTAATTTTGTTGAAGCTTCGATCTTTTTGCAATAGCTGTTCTTATGCTGGAAAATAGTAGATTGAATCGGTCAATTGGAAAGTGCTCGTCTGAGTGTTCGATAAAGAATTTCAAAATCTCTCGCAAATTGAAAAGCGATGTATTAAAATACCTGTCGAATATAATTTGAATGAGACTCTTGTTTAGTAGCAAAAATGCAATAGCTGTTAGCGCAATCCCTGTGGGATTAAAATGTGAAACACGATGCAACTCCTTCTGTGGAACCCGCCTACCACGGTCTCTGAGTCTTAGCAACTTTTCTACATCTGTCCGTAATGATATATGGAACCTTTCGGTGATGGGCGGGGGGGGGG